TGTCTTGAACTTGAACCGCGACCATCAGAAGTTCACGTTTGCGTAGAGGAGCACCTTTTTCCTTTTCATCAAGAGGAGCGGTAATATTCATTTCAGCTCATTCAACCACTGACATTATCAATTAAATCGGCTTTCAACTCCACAACGGTGTGTGACACCCCTAGGGACGGGATCGTATAGCCATCAAAAGCGACAACAACCTGGAAATTGACAATGCTATCACGAACAAATCCCAGCGCACAAAAAAAGGCATAATGGTGATAAGAAAAGAATCAAGCATCGCCCACTAAACTGAGATGTTCTCACAGAGATCTCTGTCTTCTTCTCCGCTCTTTATTTTTTTTTCAATCGCGGCTATCCAATTGCACTAATCGTGACAAGATCTCCCGACAATAGACGTGCCTTCTGTCGTAGCGCTGGCGTAAAATGACGCATCACGATGCGTTGTCATGACGACGTTTGCGCCAGCGAGCGCGGCCGGACTGGTCAGGCGGGAAGCGCAGCCACAATGTGACAATGCAGGAGAAGTCGCTTGCTTACGTAGGAGAAGTTTAATATCAGCCAAAAAAAAAAAGGTTTCTTTCGTTCAGGAGGACGAACTTCTTTACCTCCTCATCGTGGCTTTCTCTCTGTCGTGACACAATGGGTTCAAATTGAGTTCGAGGTGATTATTGGGCCTTGATGGTTTGGCATTTCTGCCCGTGGCTCAAGCCAAATCTGAGATTTTCGGTGATTTTTCTCCGAACTTACGTGAGCAGACTCTATCACTCGAGACTTCAAGAAATGCACTTTGTAAGTCAAGTGAAGTAATTGTTTTATATCGTGGTCTAGTTTTCAGCCTCGGGCAGGTTTGTCTAGTAAACAAGTCGTAGTTCCTATGCCTTTTAAGCAGCGTAAAGCCGCTGTACTTTACTGGCAAGTATGAAAGGTTGCTTTTAAGTGCAGCAAAAAAACACTGGGATGATTTAGCTAATGAGCTAAGAAAATTCAATTTTAATCCGAGAAAGAATTGAAGACACTCATGTAGATTCTTTGGAAGGGTAGGGGAGGTATAACGCTCAGTTCCCCCTCATTCCCCCATCAATTCAAGAATACTTGGCAAGTCTAGTAGATAGAACTGGTCCAACAGTAATGGATATGTTCAACAATTATTATCCCTGTTCATCAGGAATGAGACCATTTTTCTGCAGCAGCTCGTGATCAGCGCAATTTGGTCTCTACCTTCACAGGTACCCATTTTATACTCATGGGTGGAGAGAGAGAGGCAATCAAAGTAAAGTGCCTTGCCCAAGCGCACAAGCACCATGTTCCATGTCAGGATTCGAACCATGTACCACGGCACACGAGTCGAACACCGTAACCATTGGATCACAGCACTACACAATTTCTACACATTAACTGCATTCTCATTCTACACAGAGCACACACAATACTCATTTGATTCAGAATGGCTTTTGACTGGAAGTCTTGTCATGCATCTGGTCAGTACACACAATGTGCCGGGTTTAGCCAACTCATGGGCTTTATTCACGAGTTAGCCATTTTGTCGAGTTCCCTGAATGTATTCCATTAATTGTCAACTGTTGAATGGGATGGTGCCAGACTATTTATGCAGGCACAATGCAGCCTATTTACAGTCTCTTTTTTTTAAATCTGGCTTTAAACATTAGGGAACGTTTACTAGTTACAAATTTTAGATTATTCATTTGAAGCATTCATTTCTCTACACAAGTTCCAAAAATCAAGATTTTACCTCACTCTCAATCCAATATGGCCGACTCGTGAATAAGGCCCGTTGGAATTACGGAGTAGTCCTGTAGCATAGCACTGCCCGACTTGGAAGTGACAAAAGGCTCACTGAGTTTTCTTTCTGAAAGGGGCAAGATCAACGACGGGCAAAATGTTCCGACAGGCCATTCCGTGCTTAAAGGGTGCACACCGGTAAATTGGCCTAAACCCATCCACCGAGCTCATGAATAAAAGTTATACCCTCAAAATAGTCTATATTAAAGAGTTTCTGAGAGCCATAAACTTTGGTAATTGAGGAGATATGGCAATGAACCTCTGGCCCGGACTACAGGCTTCCAATTCTGAGCATTTTGGATGCAATTGGGCTCGAAAGTGACGCTATTTTGCCATGTTGTGGAGGGATCGTTTTTCAAGATGGCTAGTTTTCAGCTTTGGGGAAAATAGGGGGCGTCTTCTTTGGGTAAAAATTCAATTTTCGATCTGACAGTAAAAATAATGTTTCAGTCTTTACTTCAATTATTAAAATCTCATTTGTATTTGAATGTTTGTGTGTAATCTATAATTCTCACTCAGATCATAGCTTCCAATGGCACTCCATGGACAGCTATAAAATAGGTTCTTTTAGTAAAACATGCATAACTTCTGATGGCATGAATCAATTTCAGTATTTTTTTCCAGATGAGTGGACGAACATGCTTTTTAAGATTTACTTTATTGGTGTATCAAATTTGATTGCTTTTTAAGAAGAAAAAAAAATCTTTAATCCAGGTCACTTTCTTCTTGACTCACCCTGTAAAGGTAGCTATCTTTCTTGCATGTTACGGTAAATCTCTCCACGTTTCTCCTTGTAATAATTAGGCCTAGTATATATTAGAAAATGTCCTCCGACTGGTGGCCAAACCATACGGAACGGAAGCAGAACGGGTTGTGTAACACTGAATAAAATAATGTTGCCACTTATTGCCAAATATTAACCATACGCCGGATCATAGACTAATTGCAATTAGCGATACGTCTTGACTGAATGGCAACCGCTGGTATGACGTCATCGCCAAACGTGACGTCACTGCGCTGGTTGTTCATTAGCGCCTGTGTTCAGTTTAGTTCGGGTCGCCCATAATGCCTTGTGTTTCCGTTCTTTACAAAAGTGTATAATTTAACATACAACCAGCGGTCTTGTTTTGGACTCACCCCGAGTCTCATGTTGAAACCATCCGGGCACGTGATCACTCATGAGACCACTTTCAACGGAGAAACCATTGTGCATGTACAAAGCAACTTGGCGGATAATTTGAACAATAGCTATAACACTGTTTACGCCATTGCAGAGGGCCTCCATGATAGAAATGTGATAGAAAACGTGAGATTGGTCTGTGTCCCTCGAAACTGAGAAATGTCAAACCCTTAAAGTGCCCTTTCACAGCTTTATAAAGCATAAGTGAAGTTTATTTGGATTTGTAAACAAACCTTAAAGGAAACATGCAGTGGAAATTCAGCTCATCTTGTTTTCATGCACATTACTATGTGTTGCAACAATACATACAAGATCTTAATACTTGTTTTCATTGGAAGTGATAAGAAAGTGGTAGTTTTTCATTATTAGCAAATCCTTTCATCAATACATGCAAGAGGGCGCTATTTTGCTTTTGTCACACAAGGTACTCCTTGTCAAAAGTGCATTATTATGAACAGTACAAAAATATGTCCTTCAAAATTACCCACAAAAGAAAGTTTTGAAGAAATATTGGCCACTACTATTCCAAACAAGCTGTTTAACATGATAAACAAGTAAACAGTGGAACTTACTTCAACAAACTGAAGAAAAGTTTGATATATATTTGTACACAAAGCTATGGAGACACTCACTGTTCTGCCTTGAATGACATCACGCTTTGGCTCGTGAATATGGAAATTTTCATAAGCATAAAACTAAAATGTTGAAATTTCTCCTTTTTACTGCTAAAGGAGGTGGAAAGTCATAGTTACATGGCAAGAAAGCTGTTTTAAATGTATTTAAGTCATAAAAATCCTCAGAAAAAAATCATTTCATGGACCCTTTAATTTGCTGAGAATCGGTTCCAATCAATCGGTTCAGAAAACCTTTAAGAAACTCGGGGGGGGGGGCACCCTGTATGGCGGTGACAATGGGTAGCAATGCCGATAAAAATGAGGGAACTTAGGGTTGATGCCAGAATGGTGTCACTGAACCCCAAAAAAATGGGGAAAAAATGCGTGTTTAACACGCATTAGTTGACTGTGCTTTTAAAAAGTAAAGGAAAAACCCTGAACTGAAGTCTGAATGAACTATAGGTTACGAAAAAAGAGTAGAAGGCCCCCTACTCAACTCTCGAAGTCAGCGACTCCTGCATATAGTGTCTATCCAAACCTCGTCTGGGGTTGCATCTGCTTCATCCTGGAAAAGTCTATCACCTCCAAACCCCCCCCCCCAAAAAAAAAAACCCGCCAAAAGTAAGCCACATCACGTTGATAAACTATTTTATATTTCTGAAGAAGGACATGTGTCTGTATTGAAACTTTACGAGGTATCCCACATTTAGGTGATTAATTACTCTCCCGAAGTCAACCATGGTCGAAGGCTCGAAGCCGTGTTCTAACACCCCAACCCCTCCCCCAACCGATTTTGAGCGCGGCATGTATTTTTTGAACAGCGCCCTCTTTTGTTTAGTTGCAGCTAAGTTCGATTATTTATTTGGAGACTTTTTGCACATGTGCACTGCAGTGCTAGTGCTACTCTAGTAATAATCCATGTTCTATTATTACTTCTAATGAAGTTCTACACGGACATGGCGGAGTGACTCGATGAATTTCTGTCAACAGTTACCGACTCACCATGCATATATGCTCGTGAGTTTGAAGTCAGTAAACATTTCAGGAAAATAGGCCTACCTAGTCTTGGCTCAAGACTAGTGATCGATAGTGGACGGTGCATAGTGCGCCCTCTAATGGCACAATTAGACCAGCGGGCCTACTCGCACTAACGTCTTGGCCATTTCGTATCAGCGGTTTAACTTTTTCTTTATTTTCTTTCTAGGCTTTCCTAGGGAGCCAATCAGCGATCGAGAAATGCTCGCCAGACGACTGTAAACATAGGCCTACCATATGCGTGGTGACCCTGCATCATCGCTTTCCTAGGCTAGGGAACCAATCAGTGATCGAGATTCAATAACAATGGCTCGCCCGACGATTGTAAACATTTGCGTTAAATACGTGCGGTGAGCAAGCATCATCGTTAATTATGCAACGCAGTGATACTCGGCGACTATTGCCTTTGTGTACCGGGGTCCTATTTACATAAAATGGCCACGCCCCCATTGCTACGAAATGATCAAGACATTAGTGAGAGAACGCAAAAAAATCAGTTATGCAAGGGTGCTACAGAACATTGCTACTACGCTCTTGATCATTGACGTCTTGGGCAAAGACTAGAAAATCTCTAGCTCTAGTACTGAGTGTTCCCCAGTTCCAGCAGTCCACTCAGTAGAGCTAGAAAATACCTAGACCCGTGAACGTGGCGTTGTATACAACGCCATGTTCACGGGTCTAGAAAATACCATTAACCATAGAGCAACAAGATTTGAAACTTTGTGTGGCGGTCGTATGTACTAGTGAAGGTTTGTAGTAACACCACCATACCATGTGGAAATCTCTTTTGGGAAGATGTGTGGTTCTGAAATTGAAAAGAACATCCAACTGGTTCTTTTCAGAACCACACATCTTCCCGAAACATTTCTACATGGTGTTACCGCAAGCCTTCACTAATTGACTAACAAGTAGTATCATTTTCTATAGCGTTATTTTTTAATAATTTTTTTAAAAAGTATTAACAACACAAGTGAGAAGTACCGCAAATACAGCTTCAAGGACAATTCCACGGTAACTCGTGTTACATTTTTGATGTACTTTTGAGTTTCCGTGGGCTATAATTACCTTACTGAAAAGGTTTGATAACTGTTATCCTCATGGTAGATAGAGTAGACCTAGACCTACCTAAGCACCAAAGATGACATCCAGAAAACTGTGTTGTGTATAATAAACAAGATGCACAAAACGTTACATTTTCGTAACGTGAGTAACCAATTTTGTGCGTCTTGTTTATCATACATGATAACACAGTTTTCTGGATGTCATCTTTGGTGCTTAGGTAGGTCTAGGTCTACTCTATCTACCATGGGGATAACTATCTACCAAGTACATCAAAAATGTAATGTGAGTAACCGTGGAATTGCCCATTAGTGATTTTGCACAATACATACACCAAACAGTGTGGGAAACCAAAAAAAGGTAACATAGGTGCCCTTTCTTGCTCAACAATTCTTGTTATCCAGTGTGCAAATTTACTCGAGCAGTAAATTGCAAAAAGGCTTATTGGTCTGACATTACATGTATTACTTTGCTGAAAGTATGGATATGTATCCATTTTAAAAGTGGAATTGGGATGTAAGACAGTCTTCCAAAATATCTGTACTTCAATTTTACTTTCAAGTTTGTTTAAGTGGAAAAATTGTATTGATTACCGTGAGAAGTAACTCTTCATCTTTAACTCTGTCAAGGCTGCAGAAAGCTGATAATGTTCAGAACATATTGCTCTGTCCCTCTCTCATTTGTTGCGTTACTTCCATCAAAACAAATGTGTGTGAATTTCAACTATCAACAATCTGTAGGCCTACTGATGAAAATATTGTTCTATTTTTGAAAATATTATTTTTCCAATCCTCAGTTAAATTTTAATGATGATTTGTCTTCACAGTGAAACTAGCCTGACTCAAAAATGGAACAAGCTGAGTATTATCAACACTGCCCCAGAAGCAAGTTGGGTATGGACATCTTCCTGTCGCAACACAAAGGCTTCCTGGGGAGCATCAAGACAAGACCAGGGGACTTCAGGGTCACGGAAATCGACTTATCCGGAAAGCCGGTCCAGCTGGAGAAGAGTGGGGACTTCCAAGGTCTGCCTTCCGCGCCTTGTCACGTCAAAGCAAAGGAAGGCCGTTCTGATGGAGATGGGAGTAAAATCGGTGGCAACTCTTCGTGTAGAATTCCAGACGGACTGAGCGTTTCATCCAAGATAGTAGGCTCGACTTCATTCGACGACCTGACAGAACTAGAGAGCTTGACGCCAATCTTTGTCGGTATCATTGGAGTACAAGTTATGGAGGATCTGGGAGTTTTCTCGGAGCGAGAACTCCGACTGAATGACCCCTCGTCGAAGACAACAGTGAGAACTAGTGATCCCGTGCATGGGCCTGTGAATTCCCAGAATTCGCTCGCCGAAGATGGCGATACTTCGCAGGAGAAATGTTTCTGCATTGGAGTTGTGCAAGACAAGGAGGCGAGGACGTTTGTTCATAAGGCCGTCCAGTGTCTTTTCCCTCATCTTAAGACGTCAACATCCAAACTCCCTGACGACACTTCCAAGTCGGTAAGCGTCAGCACCAACCCAACGTACTGGGACTTTCGGAACTTACTCGAGGATCTTCAAGTAGGGAAACTGATCAGATTCGCCGGGTCAAAGTTCTCCACACGGACATTCTCCATTGATGCAGAAGGAACGGACTCCAAGGAAACAAGAACAGCGATCCACAGACTGATTTCAAAACATTTCGGAAAGTTCTTGGAAACGAAGACATGTCGGACGGCTTCCGGTAAGCAGGAAGTTGTGGTGCGTTTCCGGGAAAAGTTTGCTCGGAAGGACAGCAGAGGAGTGAAGAGGAAAGCTGACGCAACAGAGACAGAAGGATCTGGTGATGTGTTCACTGGTGCGATAGTTTTTATAAAAAAAACCACAAAGTCTTTGGACAAGTTTTGGCTACCTTAGTTTACCGGTACATCAAATTATGTTCCAAACTGGATACATTTCATCTATTTTTGTGATGAAAACTAAAATCATTCGGTGCTGAGGCAGTTTAGAGCAGTACAGGGAATATAAGGCACGGTGATTTGGGGCGGCAAAATCTGTTTTGGTTTTCCTTTTTCAAAATTTTCATTTTGAAAATTCTCCACAAACGGCCTTAAAACCTTTCTTTTTCATTGAGAAATAACTCAGTAATTTGTAAAGTTGGTTACGGGTACCCGATCCCATAATCTGGAACCGGTTTCTGACATCAACGGTCGGATACTCAAGCACCCGGTTCTGATGCACACCACCACTCTGGTGTTAAAAAATTTGTTAGCCCTAACAATCCTGAATCCTCAAATTTTTGGTACACCTTGGAGAGTTGGGGTTAAAGTGTGTATTTCTTTAATTTCTGCAGGTTTTACACTGAAGAAGAGCAACTTGGAAACCTTAGATGCTCTCCAGAAACTTGCCCGAGTCTTGCGGGTCCAGCCGTCTGACTTCAGTTATGCCGGAGTGAAGGATAAGAAGGCTGTCACTCTTCAGTCGGTAGCTGTCAAAGGCATCAATTCAAAAAGGTTTGCAGAATTTGTTTGATTTTAAAGACAAGTGAAAAGACAGCAGCTAATGTAGTAAAATTTCAAACTAAAAAAAACATGTGGTAACTTCTGATAACTTGAGGAAAATTCTGATAAAACTTTTTTTGTATAAATCCATTATTTGAGTATGTACATGTGATGGTTTGCCAAATTCAAAACAACTTCATAATCAGTCAGACGGCTCCCCTTTCTAGATTAGAGCAGCTGATCAACGTTGCGAATCTTCCTGGCATCACTGTCGGCAACATCCATCCCCGCATCGCGCCCATTCATGTTGGAGATCTGACTGGCAATCTCTTTGACATCCTCATCCGTGATATCCGTCACCGTGGTGATGGAGAACCCATCGGGGAAAATCGTGGAGTAGAGGGAGCTCTCTTGAAGGAGGAACTAGACACTTGCTTTGCTTCTGTGAAGGTATTTTTTAATAATATTGTTTTTCATACGATTCTGTTTCAAGTTCTTTATGATGGATAAACTTGTACATCATGGCACACATTGACGAACTTGCAATTAAAATTGTTGGGAAAACACACCAATTTGATCTCGTGCAATTAATAATAATAATAACATGTTTTTATAAAGCGCACGTTTCCACCGTCATTGGTGCTCAAGGCCCTACATCGTTATTACCCTGCTCAGTGGGCCAATGAAACATTCCAAAGACAATCTCAGCTCCCTGGGGAGTATAGGCTCCGTGCGCCAACACAAGATGGCACGTTTTTACCAATGAGAACGCCATTGACGGGACACACAGCGTATGCGTACTGTACTGTTTCACGCGCAAAGTACGCACGACTTTCTGAATGTGCTAAAGCTATTAGCCAAAGCATCTTCGCGTGAGTGTCTTGCGTCCTCGGCGCGAAAATAAGTGCGAATTTAACTTGCAAGGTCTCCCAGACTAATCCCCACCCCCAATAACTTTGGATCATTCGATATAGGCAGTGGATGGATCAGAAACCAGTCTAGGTCTCCCCCAACTCTCCTTTCCTGGCCGTTGAAGGGGTACTTGTGCACGGAGCCCATACAGCTCAATGCTGCCGTTTCAGTGTAAAGCAATCACAATAACCATCTCTGCCCTCACAGGTACCATTTTTAGGATACTCATAACCAGCTTGCTGTAACTTATAAAATGTGCTGTTGTGAAATAATGGCCACCGGAATGCCTTTTGATGAGAACCTGTAGCTCCCTGTTCAGTTTGACTTAATTCTTTTCTTTGAACAGGAGAAAGGGTTCATGAATTACTTTGGAGAGCAGCGATTCGGTCTTTTACAGGATGGGAAGAGCCAATCAGCCGCCATTGGTCAGTCCATTCTGTCTGGGAAATATGTAAGTCAATTGATGGTTTGTTATGGTTAGGAACTCTATCATTATCTAAATTAAAAAATTACAAAGAGCTTTGGTGCAGCTGGTGGGGTGGGGGGGGGTAGTAGATTGGAGTTAGGAATTTAGTAGTGTTACGATGAAGAAAAGGCGGGGGGGGGGGGGGAAGGGGGGAACGGGGGGGGGGGGGGGGGGGGGGGGGACGATGGGACTTACCCCCTGGGTTTTTAGAAAAGTAGAACATCCAACATTTTTTTAATCGAATGCACAAGCACTCAAACGTCTGACTTCATGTTGTGTTGTATTGCACTGTAAAGAAGAACTGAATTAAGGACGCGAGTCCAGCATATGTAACTTGTAGAATAGCTACTCTCTCAATCGAAACGCAAGTTTAAAGGGAAAATACAACATTTGCCAACATCAAAAAACGAAATTATCAAATTATCACGAAGTACCTTACTAAATTGTTAGGGACTGACAGTCTAAAGCATCCTTTAAAATCGTGGCTCCCGGTGGGCTGGCATTTTCAAGAAAAACTGTATTTTTCCTACGCTGGTCCGCCGACCAGCGTTGGAGAAAACTGACTTTTTTCAAAAACTGTTCTTAATTCTTCATATTTAGTTATTCTGACTTTTCTTTGCAATTGATCACACACCTGTGAAGGGGTACAAGCCTGCTAGACTGATTCTCTGACCTTACAATTCCCCAAAGTGTATTAATTGCTTCGTTTCATCTTTACTGGGGTCAGGGAACCAGACTACAAGAACATGGTAGGTTTTCTTGGTTTTTCCAGCATCTACAAGCCTAAAACATGAAACAAGTCAGTTTAACAATATTTTATATAACATAATAATCCTCCAAATCCATTTATTTCTGAAAATTGCAGCAAAAGCAAATGTTGTACATTCCCTTCAATGGCATGGAAAAGTGATAACCACTATTTCTATTCCAGAGCTTATGTCATGCACATAGGTCATCACCAGCCAATAACAAGTCGACCGAAAAGCTTTTTAAACGAAATGTGACAATCAGGCATTCCTTTGTCATTGACTTGCCATTCAACTTGCAATACGACTTATTATTTGACTTGTGATGTGGCCTGTTTTGACTCATGATTTGAATTGTGATTTGAATTGTGATCGACTTGACTGCAACTCAGCTGCTGTTCCTTTCCTGACCATTTCAGCAAGATGCAGTTAACCAAATACTCGCCCCTGAGGAAGACAAGGACGATCCCGTCAACCGAGCCAAGCGCCACTTCCTCCAGACTCGAAACGCCAAGGAGGCCCTGGCCCTCATGCCCAGGCACAAGACCCGCGAGTGCCTCGTTCTCAGGGCCCTGCACCGGCATGGCCTGGACAGAGACGGCTGCATGAGGGCGCTTCTCTGCATCCCGCACGCCATGCGGCAGTTCTACGCGCACGCCTTCTGCAGTCTGGTCTGGAATCACATGGCCAGCGTGAGACTGCGACTGTACGGATACCGGGTTGTGGCCGGGGACTTGGTGTTGATGGGAGACGAGAAGCGGGGTGCCAGGGACAAGGTTGGTAACCATTCACCTTAAAACATAGTCTGGTTCCCCGACCTGACAATTTCCCCCGACGTCCACACATCTAAATTGTAGGTCAGGCAGCCTCCGTGGCTAAAAATAAACATGACCACATTGACGGCCCTTTTTCAAAGCTCGGCTTCGTTTCCGAATTGGCTTTATCACTTAAAGCTTTTAATGTTCCGATCAAATTTTTAAATAATTTACTGGCTTCATATATCATACAGATATGAAAATACAGTTTGATATTTCTGTAAGAAAAAATTGACTAATGTTGACCTGGAATCTTCAAAATAAGGCACCCAAGTAGCACTGTTAGCAGGCGGAGCCGAATGAAGACCGAGTTTTGGAAAATCTCGGTAACGGTCGTCAAATTCAAAATAGTACATGATGAAGCAAAAAGTTCGCCCATACGATCCAAGTATACTTGATGCACAACATCATCGTTGAATTTCAAGTTTTCTAAATGAAAGCAATGAATATTAATTATCAACTCATTTAAAAAAGTTTTTAATAAGCAATAAGCAGTTAATTAAAACTATATTATTCTCGGAAATACTCGCGCGCTATCCGATTGTCGACGAAATGAATTCGGCAAATTTCAGACATTTTCGGAAAAAGGAGGAATTCCTCCCGTTCTAGTCACGTGACGTAAATTGTAATACAATGTATTACCGGAGGCTACCTGACCTAAGATTCATCAGGAATAGTCAGAATCTTGTGGTCTGGGAACCAGACTACTAAAAACAGTGCCAGTTTGTTGAGAAACCAACGAGTTGTTTAAAGGAGCTCTGTTATCACCGATGCGTTTTCCTCGATTGAAGCCCCTGTGTGGTTACCTTGTAATTTTCTCAATATTTGAATTACAATGACATGGCAGCAGTGTTAAAGTAAGCTGATGAAAAGTGGTGAAAGCGGCAATATTAAAATTGTAGTAAAGCTCTTTTTTTAATTAAATTTTCTAATGGAATAACCACTGACTCCAAACTCACACACAACATACTAGCTGTCTCCTAGTATTTTTTCATGTGAAGTCTCAAAAAGTAACATTTTGCTTACTGTCACCCACAAGAGGACTTCTGTAACTGGCATTTTAAAATATTAGTTAAATCTAGACACTTAAAGATTATTGACATTTGAGTTCAGTTTCTGTACAGATGGCAAAGATAACAGATAACATTGTTGACTGTGCATGGAACACTTTAGTACAAATGAAGCTATTTTAATTTCTAACAGAACAAGTTCCCTAATCCCTGTTTTGTTTCTTCAGATTCAAGAAGTTAGTGAAGACGACGTGAAAGCTGGCATCTTCTCCATCCAGGATGTAGTCCTTCCGTTGCCCGGTAACAACATCCGGTATCCCAGCAACAGGATGGGAGATGCATACACCAAGTACCTGGAGGGGGCGGGCTTGGGTTCTTGCAAGTACCGCCCGACCGAACTTCAGTTGAACATACCGGGGGATTACCGGCGACTGATTGAGTGGCCTAAGGAACTTCGCTGGGATTTAGAGCATATACGAGACGACGATGAAATCCAGACAAATCTTGTGCCAGACAAGTTGGGGATGGATTGTGAAGTGGACTCTAAAGAAGACAGAGAGTGTCTCGGTGATGAAAGAGCTACATTAAATTTTCATGAAGTTAATTTAAAATGTTCCAATGATTCGTCAGAGATTGACGGACAAAATCCCCCAGAATCAAACAATGATGACATTTCTTTGAGATCTGAATTGAGCAGCTCAGAATTGGATGAGGGGAACAGTCCAAGTGACCGACAGGCAACAGGGGTGAATTTAAGGGTCAAATTCAGGTTGGCATCTTCAACCTATGCCACCGTTTTTCTGAGGGAGTTGATGAAAAAATATAGTGCGGTGGCTTCAACCATGCTCCAACAGAAACAAGATGAGCAAGGCAATTAACATTGACAATGACGAAAGTATTCTCTGGAAGGATGATGTCAGGTTTACAAAGGAGTTCTTTCAGAAACCTTTTGTATTTGCAACTTCAGTTTCATAATTTCACAACTAAAACCAAACAGAAGTACATATGCCGCGTTTGTATTAAAAGTGCTCACTAAATTTTTTTTATTTCCAATTCGTAATATATTTACAAAAGCCAAAATACAAAATTTCCCTTCATATTTTGTCTAGCTTTGACTCAAATTGGAAATAGTTTCAAAAATGACACAAATTCTATTTAAAATACTTAAGGCCGGTTCATACTCAGCGCGAAAAATGCGAATGCAAACTTCTGACGTCACGGCAAGCTTTCGCACTGGGATTTCGCAAAAGTTGATCACATTTCAACTCCGAATTTTGCAGCGAAATGTTTCATGACGTCAAATTTGTTTCGCATTTGCATGAAGTGCATTTTGTATGAACCGGCCTTAACACATTGGTACTCAAGTATTTTTTTTCTCCAAACACAAGAAAAACAAATAACTTGAAAAGTTGGTTTTCAGCTTACTTGGTCAAAATGAAAGTTTGGGATATTTTTTTTATCTCTATACAATAATGTATGTTCATAAATAGATACGTGAGTCAAGTCGAGAGGGCATGCAGTTGCTAATGGGTCATTTTATAAATTTGGGGTCCACTTTTTTTCCTGTCCCTGTTGCCTCTGACATCTGTGATTTTATAAATCTAGATGCACCCCTTAACCAGTTTGCGCCGGATGATATGTATAGGCATCATTCCATGTCAGACCAACGCACTTTTTTACCTCATGTCTTCCGATTTTAATAAAAATTGCTGTGCTTGTAGGTCCTAATGAGCAATGAATACACACCAGTTTTTAGCCCGATCCGACCTACCATGTGGTCAGGGCAGAAGCCACAAAAAAATGGCATTTTTAGAGTAAAATACCACCCTTTTGGTATAAATATGTCAAAACTATGGCAATTTTCATCGAATATATGTGAATTTGGTATTAAAATAATGAGGATTGCATGCTCAAATCACTACTGAAAAGTAGGTCACGTGACCTTTAATATGCTATCGTGACCCTTGACCCAATTTTTGTAATAATGTATCATTCTGAAAATCAACGAAATAAAAATAACTTGCTAGAGCATGTCTTCCTCTATCAGAATCTACTAAAAATCAGTTGGGGTCTTCAAAATTTACAACTTTATGACTACTTTTGTACAGTTGGTAGGTTACAAATGAGTCAATTTATAGACTTTACATAAGAAATACACCAACACAACTTACTATTCTGTTTCTTAAGTTACTAAAATTAATCTAGATTTTTATGTATAAAGTACAAAGCCAGGAAAAACAAAATTCTACCTTCTGATTCCAAAGAAACTGTCTAATCAGAATATCTGGACTCAGAAGTGTGCTAACTACTAACAGTAACCAGGCCTTCACCCAGTACAGCGGACTCACGTCCAGGTGAAATTAATCTCAAAGGAACACAATGCCAAGTCTGTGAGAGTCATTAAAGTTCAAGAAGCACAGTGATGAATGAGTAAAGGTAACTTTGATTGTAATATTAAGTATTATCTTCAAGCAAACTTGAATCCTAGACCCTGATTAGTCCATCTATAGCAACAACTGTGTGATTTTATATAATATTGCACAGCTATATTGCACCCCAGATATTAAAAATGTACGTGTACATATGTTGTGTTATTTCCTGCAGAACGAACCAATACACTACATGTATGCACGTACATCTTCACCGCGTGTACGCATTTGATATCAAGTTTGCTTGAAGATAAATTGGTTATAAATCCCACTTGCGCTCGTGGAACACAGAATTATGTAGTGCATTGAGTGGCATATGGGTCACAGCAGCATTGCATTATTTCATATTCCAAGCGCGCTCGTGGGATAACTAATTATCAGTGGCACCAAGGGGGGGGGGGGCGCCTTGAACCCACCCCCAACATTGTCAATTTGTTTGATTTTAGGCTAGTTTTTGTTGGTCCAATCTTTTACAGGAATTTGAACAAAAAACGATTTATGACCCCCCCCCCCCAACCAAAAGCCAAATCCTGGGTGCGCCACTGCTGATAATTTACACTATGAGTCTGGTTAGACCTCATCAGCCCTCAGAATGAGAAATTCACAAACCAAGATATATTTTAGTAACTTTAGAAACAGAATAGTAAGTTGTGTTGGTGTATTTCTTATGTAAAGTCTATAAATTGACTCATTTGTAACCTACCAACTGTACAAAAATAGTCATAAAGTTGTAAATTTTGAAGACCCCAACTGATTTTTAGTAGATTCTGATAGAGGAAGACATGCTCTAGCAAGTTATTTTTATTTCGTTGATTTTCGGAATGATACATTATTACAAAAAATGGGTCAAAGGTCACGATAGCATATTAAAGGTCAAGTGACCTACTTTTCACAAAATTTAATTTTGACAAAAGAAGTGCTTTGAGCATGCAATCCTCATTATTTTAATAACAAATTCACATATATTCAGTGTTCTCCAACATGTAGAACAAACCTGGCGCCCCGCCATGCTTTCTGCGGCGCCCGCCATGTTTAAGAAGTCCCCGCCAAGCTTTAAAATCCTGCCGCCAGGTTTAATTTTTTTGACTCTACAGTGAACATTTACAACTAAAACTAGATGTGGTTGTAACTGAACAACCACAGAGCTGTTCCCAACTTGTTTTTGATTGTCTATTGGATTGTAGAAAATAATGTAATGATTTTTGCAAAAATCTCTAACTTTTAAAATTGAAATTATTATCTTACATAATTGCACTTCCGGTAAAAACCGGAAGTAAAGGTCACGAGACCTTGACATATACATTTTCATTTATAACCCTTCCCGGTCTATATATTTACCAAGTTTCAGATCAATCGGTCGAATAGTTGTATAGTTAAAGGACTATAAAGATTGCCTCATTAAATATTCATGACGTCATAATATGAAAACATTAAACTGCCCATTAATAATAATGCTACATATTTATCCTTTGATGTTGCTTAATACTAATATAAGGTGTCAACCCAATTAAATTTCTAATTCATTAGATATGATAATTAGGGTCTTAAATTAACACTTCCGGTAACACCGGAAGTAGAGGTCACATGACTGGGATATACCAATATTCATGTGTAACACTTCCCAGTCTGTATACCTGCCAGGTTTGAGATCAATCGGTCAAATGGTTCTATAGTTATAGGACTGTAAAGATTGCCTCATTAAATATTCATGACGTCATAACATAACAATAATTAAGTGCACAGTATAAAAAATAATGCAATATAATTATCTGTCAATATAGCTTCGTATCAATGTGAAGTTTCAACCCAATCAGATTAATAATTCATGAGATATGATATAGGGGTCTAAAATAACCACTTCCGGTAAAACCGGAAGTGAAGGTCATGTGACCTTGACATATCAATTTTCATTTATAACACTTCCCTGTCTGTATACCTACCAAATTTGAGATCAATTGGTCAAATAGTTCTATAGTTATAAGGCTGTAAAAATTGAATCTATAAATAGATGTCACGTGACCCCTGATAACGTCACGATGACGAAAAGTTTCGGCATACATCTTTAAAATAGTTCCCAAAGTGGCTTGTAGAATAAAAACGTGTGATATATATTTGAAAATGCATGTGTCCAACTTCCCCTAAAGCAGATCAAAAATGACTGAGAAAAGTCTTCTTATAGGCGAATGGGGGCGCCATTCACTTTTTACGGTGTGCCGTTATATTTTTTTGGTGACGCGCAGCTGTCCTTATTTTGATCCCATAAAACTTAAGGCTCAGTGCCTTAAGTACAACCATTAAAGTTATGTACTGCCCTCTTTTGGCGAGAATGAAGGGACGTAATGTACATTGAACGACGTTTCAAAGCCACGTGTACGTGCTATACACATTGTGGAAGTCCTGCGCACGTTTTAAAGCTCTCTACCGCAACTTGGGCAAGGGAATTTTTTGCCGACGTCGCGTCAACTGTGTGAACAATTTGACAAGCTGGGAACTTGGCACTGTTGAGGCAAATGTTTATGCTATCATTTAATGGGCGATTCAAGATTATATCTGTACGGATTGATTTTTCAGCAATTTTCTAAGGAAAAAGGGCATTTTCATTATAACTTCCGGTCTGATGACGTCATACGCCTAAAAATTTGCACACGTCTTAAGTGGGTCAAGGTCATCATATACACCAATATTTAGGCGATTCCGACAAACTTCGCCACAGACATCTATTCAAAATACATTTTTGCTAATTTTCAACCTGTCGCTAGAGGGCGCTCGAAGATTGCATGACGTCATGGGTAGATGATTTGAAGAATACTATCAGTCAAGAGACTAACACCGTTAAAAGTAAGTTCATATCTATTACCACTTTTAAATAATAAGCCACTTCCGGTTTTGGCCTTTTTCGACCGGAAGCAAAGGTCACGTGATTTCACGCACACTGAATAAAATAAAGACCTTAACCTATTCTACCACTTGCCGGCAACATTATGCTGCGGACGCGTACGGTTGATTTCTTATGCATTTTTAAATATTAAAATTGTCAAAATTTAATTGCCTATAAATAAACACCGGATGACGTCATCATGACGTCATCATTACACAATGTTGTTTGAATTAGGGTCTTTGCTTGGACAAAGATTGGTGTAAATAAATAACTGGCAAAGAGTCGAAAATGCCCTCTAAAAATTGACATTTTTTTTAAAAAATTCTGTGTACAAAGTCTATGGGAAAAATTAAATATTCAAAACTCTATAATAAATCACGTGATGACGTCAGCATGACGAAAAGTTTCGGCATACATCCTCAGATGATGGTTAATAACTATGCTGAGTTTAAAGTTGATCGGATTTAAAATAATTGCCAAAGTGGCTTGTAGAATAAAAACGTGTACAAAACCTATGGGAAAAGTGGAAAAAGAAAAAAAAAAATAAAAAAAAAAAAAAAAAGGAAAAAAAAAAACTTTAACGAAAACAAGAGCTGTTCCCAATTGAAATTGGGAACAGCTAATAATTGATTTCAGTTGTTTTTCAACACATTAACAATGTATTTCGATGTCATCCCAGCCCGATCGGGGTTGTCTTAAAATCTCGCTGAATCAATCACACGCACGGCCGGCCGTGCAAACACCAGCGATACCCCATGCACCGTACATGTACAGTGTACGTACTATACTAGGTACGCACGATGTACACACACTGACAACTGAATCCCCAGTTCCGGTGTCGTGCCAAAAACCGTCCGGTGCCAAATAGTGTCCGCTGAGCATGCGCAATAGGCGCCAGACACTATTTGGCATGTAATACATGCCAAATAGTGTCCGGTGCCAAATAGTGTCCGGGCGCCGTCGATCGAGCGAGAACAAGGGCGCACGTACGAACGTCCTGCCGGACAGTATTTTGCAGAAAAAATCGGACAGTATTTTGCAAGGGGGAATCGGACAATATTTGGCAGGGCGGGGAATCGGACACTGTTTAGCAGGAAAAATCGGACAGTATTCGGCTGGAAAAATTGGACAGTATTTGGCAGGGCGGAATCGGACAATATTTGGCAGGAGGAATCGGACAGTTTGGCAGGAAAAATCGGACAATATTTGGCAGGAAAATCGGACAGTATTAGGTGGGAAAAACCGTAAAATACAACGTTGGTTATAATGCTACACACAGCACAGTACCGTACACACACTTCACACGGCGTTAGGCCTACGTACGTACTGCATGCCAAACAGGTGAACTGACGCGAAAAAACACACAAACATTTTGCACAAATATAATATTAGGGAAACCAAGTCAGATAGTTATCACAGATAACAAGGAAAACGTTAAAACAGATTGTAAAAAGCAAATTCAGGTGAAAAGAGATCTTTTCTATACGAGTATTGACAGCTCGACAAGGCACGCAATAGGATGCACGCTAAGCGCGGACACTATTTGGCAAGCGTCCGTAAACAATGTGACGTCATAGACGCATGACCAATCAGATCGCATTATGCTAATTAGCGGACACTATTTGGCACCGGACGGTTTTTGGCACGACACCGGAGTGTGCCGATACTTCAAGTAGCGACAACCCCGCCGCAAAAATATATATCTGTATTAGTACACACACACACCAGTAGGAGTACGTACGGCAGATCTTACGTGCAGCCAACCGACTTTCTTTTTCTCAGTGCTTGCACGCGCGGTACACAATATAATACGCATTGATGTGTACGAGGCAAACGAGCTCGAGGCCAAAACACGCGTGCACATGGTGTTCCGATCATGCCGCGCCGATTAAAATTGTCAAAAGTTATAAATGGCGATCGTGTATGGGCCCGGTTCCCTAAGAGAACGAAATCCACTTTTAATTTATTTGACTTACCAAACTAGTTGGCGACATTTAAGAATTACAAAAAGGTGTCATTTGATCTGAGAGAAGTCTGCTTTAGGTTGAAAAGGAAATTTTTGAATGCTAAAAAAATCGGGAGAACTGGCCTGGCATCGCCTCAGATTGCACCACAGAGCATCTAGAAACCAAATTTTCCCGGGGCCCTTAAGCGGGCCCCGGACCCCACGCCGTAAGGGCTTCGCGCTCCGCGCTCGCAGGAGTCCCCGCCGACCCCAGCGCCAACCTTTAATTTTCAAAGTTGGAGAACACTGTATATTCGATGAAAATTGCCATAGTTTTGACATATTTATACCAAAAGGGTGGTATTTTACTCTAAAAATGCCATTTTTTTGTGGATTCTGCCCTGACCACATAATAGGTCGGATCGGGCTAAAAATTGGTGTGTATTCATTGCTCATTAGGACCTACAAGCACAGCAATTTTTATCAAAATCGGAAGACATGAGGTAAAAAAGTGCGTTGGTCTGACATGGAATGACCCATAGACGCAACGGTTTTGTTTGCAGGGAGCGAGGCTGGAGATATCTGTCAGCAACCCGCTCGCAGCAAGCGAGGCCGGAAATATGAGTGTGCTGCCCGAGGGTGATGGCTTCAACCCGCCTGGCTTGAGGTCGAGTGAAAAATAATCCCGCGCCTCGTTCCTTTCTTGTTAAAATAATTCCAGAGCGAACTGGTTAATGTCCTCCAAGAGTGATTGTGCATTGACCTATCGCGGTAGAATCGCGTTAGAATCGCGTCAACGTAGCTTGTGAAATATTGTGCAATTACATGATATACAAATGGATGCGGAATGCGCAACATCTGAGACATACAAAACTTAGTGTACAACAACTCCATAGGGTTGTCTAATGGGTGTGGCTAACTCGCAAACGGCGATAGGTCAATAGCACATTACCTAACCAACAAATAAATAAGGGAATAAATGTGTGCTCCGGAGGTTTTTATCACTCGTTTAATACCGCTTAGAGTCTGGGTGCTGATAATTACCCGAGCTGGAGGCGAGGGTAATTATCAGCACCCAGACTCTAAGCGGTATTAAACAGAGTGATAAATACCGACCGAGCACATATTTATTCCCATTCATAAATACCTTATCCGTAAAAAAATATCAAATAATTCGTTCAAAAAATCCCGATTTTGTTCAACAAGTTCACTTCATGCTTTTTGAAACATCCCTCTAGCAAAATAATGGAGTGTTCAGCTGGCGAGTAAGATGTAAACAACCCTTTTATGGAGATTGACGCGCGCGTAACATGTTCTGCGCGATGTCACGCAGAACGCACCTGAAGCGTTGCGTTTTGAATTTAGAACTATAAAATTCTGACTCGCTTGTAGTGTTGCGCATGCCTACGTGAGGATTGTGAACGTTCAACCAATGAAACGGTAAGAGGCACTGGATTTTTAGGAGTCCACATTTTATTGTGACACTGGAAAAGTGTTTAAGACCAGCTAGCCATGTCTTTATCATCCGTTTAAGACCGGCCACGTGACGGGCTCTCGACCAATAGGAATAGCTAAACTGTCTGAGGTATTTATGAATAATTGTTTGAAGTCACTCTTAATGATATTTGAATGGAAAAATGACCAAGTACCAAGGTAACAGGGACGGGAAAAAATGTCACACTTTGGACCCTACATTTATAGAATGACCCTAATGTGAAACTTATTTGAAATTATTTCACAATTACAATTTACAACATATTTAACTTATGCACTTTCACATAATGAGAAATTTAGTTTTGATAACATTACATAAATACCAAGTTTTCAGTAAAGGTTCATTGTGTACGATTATGCTTTTATAAATTATCAGTTTTCTCAAAAAATTGGTGACAATGTATAGAAGTTGTAATAGCTATACAATGCAAATTATGCTTCATTTTTGAAAATCTTTTCATTCTTGTGTCCATGTTATACAAAAGAACCGTTAGTAAACATTTAACAATTGTTGACTGCTGTGATGTGGGATATGTCGTGTTTAACATCTGAGGGGCACAGCTCTGAGGGGGTTAAAAATGGCATATCCCACATCACAGCTTTCAACAATTGTTTTGTTGTATTGTGCCAATAAGTCAAAACGATAAATGGTTGTAACTTACTATGCGAGGAAATAAATTAAATCCGCGGTGTAACCCTTGATTACTGCAGGTTTTCCTGTTTCGGACATGAGACTGAGCGGTTGCACATTGCCTGAGTTCCTAGTCGCGAGTACGCGTGCAGGTTCTTCACGCGTGCCCGCAACGCGCATTGTATATGAGGTTAACCATCGTATTCACAGACTGGACACGTGACCGTTCTTGACCAATGAAATTACAGTATCCAAGCACACGATATAGCAAAAAAGATAATACAACAGTGTGCAATATCAGTTTATAACTTTTTTATAACATGCAGATTTTAATAAATACAGCTGATATAAATTGGAAGTTTGGCATTATCACATCAACAGTGTTTTACAAAAAAGTTGATTTCAATTTTTTTTATGGCTACAGTTACTGACCTCTAAATGGTACCTGCTTAACATACCAGCTCACAACTCGGGTTGAATTATGTTGATTTTTTTATCAAGTTATTTTCCACAAGCTTTTCTGTTGCTCAACACAATTGGAGTTGCAACCATAAAGAATTGACATGTCACCAGTGTTGAAGTACTCGTACTCAAGTACTTTTTTAGAGTACTCGTACTCGTACTCGAATGTCCAAGTACTCGTACCCGAAATGACGGTACTCGTACGCAGGCAGCAAAGTACTCGTATTCAACATTTCGAAATTGTACTTGATCATCAAAGTACTTGTACTCGAATAGCAGTACTCGAAATAAAAATGGTATAGCTTGACTTACCACAGCCTTATTTTATTATCGATACTTTCAGTTTGAAATGGTTGATTGGCTTGCAGAGAAGTCAAAGTTTCCTGATTTTCCTCTGTGCACGTCCGGACAAACACATTTAACATCTATGGGTCTGTATATCGGACTGATTGGGCCTGGGCCAATTACGCACAATGAACCATTTGCTGTATGGCCTTATTTGGAAAAAGAAGTACTCGTACTCGTACTCGAAATACAAGTACTCGTACTCCGAAGTACAAGTACTCGTACTAGGAGACCTGAACTTGTACTCGGAAGTACTAGTACCCGTAGTCGTACTCGTACAAGTACTCGTAGACCTAAGTATTCGGCAGTACTCGGTACTCGGGGGAAAAAAAGTACTCGACTACAACACTGCATATCACATGGTTGGCAACTCATTTCTAGTGACCTTTTTTTTTCTGTGATCAGCAATTTTCCGTGCCTAGCAGCTCTGTGGAAATTGGCCCCTGGAATGTTTATGCTAAGAAGTTTTAACCTAGCAGCCATTTTGTCTGGCTCCCAGAAGGCACAACAAAGGTCCATAATGCTCTTGACTATTGTTGTAAACATTGAGGGCCATTTTGTATGGGATGCCGAAAGCACATAAATTGAAGCTGTGGTTGGCAACATATTTTTTCCAAAAAAGTCCTCATAACACCCTCATTACATAAGAAAAAGGCATGTTCAGGAATTATTTTGTAGCGTTTGTTGATAATTTTGTATTTTCAACAGTCAATGTTTTTTGTAATCAATAACTTTTCTTCATTTTTGCAGTGTTGGACCTTCCATAGTTTGGCAACCCACGGCGATAGACACATGGTCTATTATACACCCCATTATTTGTAGCAGCCTACTTTTAGCAAAAGAAAGTTTTGAGCTGGGTAAATCTGTATGAAAGGAAACTAAAGATAAGCCGACGTAAAGTTTGTCTAGCAGATAAGGACTCTCACTGGATATTTTCCGGACTACAAATACCACAATATATGTACATTTCCACAACCGTGAGCTTAAATCTCCAGACTTCATTGGCTTCCTCATGTCAGTGTTTCTCCTTTTGTGACCTGGGAAACAAAAGAATACAAAATGATTCAAACAACAATATTAGGATGAGGTATACAGAAATCCTGATAATGTTGATGAAAGAACCCACTGCATCAGCATGAAAAAATGATCACATTTCTGTGTGTTTCTTATGACCTGCATGTAAACTAGACAAGTTTCTGTATTCGCAGATTCCTCGGGAACTATTTACATTCACAACAGGTTGGTGAGCAGCAGTCTTAACATGCTCACTGGAAAAAAACCCTGAGAATTTCCCCCAAATGGTCCCCATTCTAATCTGGATAACTCTATACCACACTGAAAATGAGAAGTGCCGTCCTTAAAAGGTAGAGTAGATCATTTGTCATTTGTGCATTTGTTTCGTTTGAAGCAACAAAGGAGCTCAAGATCTAAAGACGGGTGCTTAACAACTAACCTGATGAAGATTTAGCTCTGTGAATGCAGTATATTCCGAGAAAATAATATTCTAGGATCTCAATTTCAATTCAAAAGTTGCCGCGTCATATTTTGAATTGCGCCCAAAATCAGCATTCGGAACACGTTCTCATTCAGCTAATTGCAACTACGAGATGTCACGCACTGAACCGACGAATAACAGCAACCGTGCACGCATGTGCATCGTGTCAAGGCTTGCGCGCACCCAATTGATTTGAACCTATTGATTTGTATACTCCTAGTCCTACATTAACCCTAACAGAACTCAACCCATCAAACCCCAACGGCATGTATTATTGGAATCTGTCTGGATGGGTACAGTACCCCAAAACTGACAGTCTTTTACATTGGGTTGGCACACCTCCAGAAAGTCAGAAATATGTGTGCACAGTTTCCCATATGGTGTTGGAATTTGCCAGGATGGGTATGGTTCCTAGTAAATCATGCTAGGGAGTTAGGGTTAAAGGTCGAGTATATCATTTGCTGCTAAAAAGTGCTATCAATAAGGTACTGAAATTATTCTTGAAAAGCATACATGGTTTAAAGATAGTAATGGCACTAAACTCCACTCTGAAATTATTCTTTCTGGCATGCTGTTATGTTGAAGAAAATAAAAGAAGGTCATTTCCAAAGATGCGTCTAACGATGCATTTTTGGATATTTCCGTTAGTAGTTCGTTTTTAAATCGGGGAAGCCGTTGACACAACGCACACACGCACACAGTTGCTATAATTCATCAGTTTAGTGCATGACATCTTGTAGCTGCAAGCGGCAAAATGAGAACATGTCCCGGATGCTGATTTCGGGACACAATTCAAAACATGACTTGGCAACTTCTGATTTCTCGGAACAGCATTCACTGAGCTAAAACTTCATCAGGGCCCAATTTCATGGCTCTGCTTACCGTTAGCGAAAAATTCTTGCTTACTGTAGCAGAAAATTTGGTGCTTACAGTAAGCGTATTTCATGGGTTAACAAGGAATTTTGGCTTCTACGCATGTGTACATCCTGTAACTAAGAATTCTGTGCTTAGAGGCACACATTTTTTTCTGCTAGCGCAGTTAACACAAAATGGGATTGTAAGCACGGGAATTCTGTGGTTAGCAGAGCTATGAAATTGGGCCCAGGTTAGTTGTTACACACCCTTCACAAAAAAAACAATATGATATAATCTACCTTTAATTTAAACTCTAGCCCTCCATGCAAGTGGCTTAGCCAAAGCTGGGAAGGGGCCATAAAGTCTAAGGAAGTAATAGGTTAAACTTACTCTTGCTTCAAGATACTCTATCTGTCTCTCGAGAGATGTCAGCTTCTCATTCAGCATGGCTAATCTGGATCGACATGATGTATCTGTTGGGAACAGGAATGACAAAGGCTTTATTGGATATTATGCAATGCCAAGCTTAAAGGGAATATACAACATTTGCAAACGTCAAAAAACAAAACTAACAAATTATTATGAAATACCTTACTGGCCTGTTAGTGAATGACAGTCTAAAGCATCCTGTAAAACCATAGCACCTTGTGTGCTGTCATTTTCAAGAAAAGTGGTATTTTTGTGTCAATTTCCAACATTGGTCGGCTGACCAGTGTTGGAAAAAACTGGCTTTTTTTTTCAAATATTGCCCCCACTTTACCATTTTTAGTTAGACCACATTTTGTTTGCAATCGATTACACAGCTATGAACGGGTACAAGCCAGCTAGACTGGATCCCTGACCTTACAATTCTCCGACGTCTATAAATTGCTCCGTTTCATCTTAAGTGGGGTCAGGGAACCAGACTACAGAAACATGATTGTTTTTCTTGGTTTTTCCATCATCTACAAACACAAACTTCAAACACGTCAGTGTAACAATATTTGATATAAAATACTAACCCCCCCAATCCAGCTATCCAAAAAGTAACTGACCAAATTATGGTTAAAAGGCTTACTTGGTTTACAGATAGTAATGGCATTAAACTCCCTGTGAAATTATTCTTTCTGGCATGCTGTCATTTTGAAGAAAACAATACAAGAAGGTAATTTCCAAAGATGAGTCAAGTGACGCATTTTTGGAAATTTCTGTTAGTAGTTGGTTTGTAATTCGGCGAATCCGCGCACATGCGCATGAGATAGCTATTATTCATCGGTTCAGTGCGTGACATCGCATAGCTGCAATCGGCTGAATGAGAACGTGTCCTGGATGCTGATTTCAGGCGCAATTCAAAACATGACTCGGCAACTTTCAGGTTGAAATCGAGATCCTAGAATATTGTTTTCTCAGAATAATCAGCATTCACTGAGCTAAAACTTGGTAAGTTGTTAAGCAGCCGTCTTAAGATTTTGAGCACTTTTGTTGCTTCAAACAAAAAATGCACAAATGACAAATGATCTACCCTACGCTTTCCGCGACAACGCACCAGACGAAAATTGAACTCACTTGCGACGCCTGAAAGCGGTGTGGTACCCACATACATCGCGCGCGCAGATTTTTTTTGATGTCATCACGTGATGTAGCCCCACTAGTGTGGCCGTCGGTATGCTGTGCTGAACCCAAGGCCACACACCGTGGTCTGTGCACTACTGGGGACGTTTTCATAAATTCAACAGGTAATTTCTTACATATGGTTGTATTCTACGATGTCCCAACTTTCACTTCTGGGATGCTTGGGTGTAATGATGTTCAATTTTCCAAGATATTCTTGAATCTTTCTGGAGCCCATATGCACTCGTGAAACGTCTGGTGATGGCAGCCATTTTGAATGTGACAAGAGATGACCTCAAGCTGTGACGTCGCGTTTATGCAAATTGCTTGTCGAGCGAGGGCGCGAGTTGCAAATGCGACGGCTGTTTCCTGTGCCGTAGATCCTGAATAGAGATCAGTGCACGTGGCCCCCAGACAATAAATGCATGGTAGATCCTGAATAGAGATCAGTGCACGTGGCCCCCAGACAATAAATGCATGGTACAGGAAACAGCCGTCGCATTTGCAACTCGCGCCCTCACTCGACAAGCAATTTGCATAAACGCGACGTCACAGCTTGAGGTCATCTCTTGTCACATTCAAAATGGCTGCCATCACCAGACGTTTCACGAGTGCATATGGGCTCCAGAAAGATTCAAGAATATCTTGGAAAATTGAACATCATTACACCCAAGCATCCCAGAAGTGAAAGTTGGGACATCGTAGAATACAACCATATGTAAGAAATTACCTGTTGAATTTATGAAAACGTCCCCAGTAGTGCGCAGACCACGGTGTGTGGCGTTGGGTTCAGCGCAGCATACCGACGGCTACTCCTAGAACTATGAGGCTCCACGTGAGCGGAGCCTCATAGATCAAGAAGCCCGCAAAATTGCCTGCAGCACAAAACACTAATAAAGTACAAAAACGTCCATCAAAATGCAGCCATTTCACACAGAACCGCTGCACAGTTTGCCCCTATACTCCGTACTTTATCTCTTGACATACTCACGTATCTTGTGCGGAACTAACATGGGTGGATTCTGTCGGTTTTTAGGCCAAAATGATGAAAAATATGCCCTTTCCGCACTGAGCCAACCTGACACTTGAAACGTGCACGCATATGATCGATCGATGGTTTTCGGTTCGGTCGGAGCGCGCCGCGGGGGGTACGGTACAGGCGAAATGATAGTATGTGCATGCGTACAAGTGCATGTACCGTACCCCCCGCGGCGCGCTCCGAGCGAACCGAAAATCATCGCTCGATCATATGCGTGCACGTTTCAAGTGTCAGGTTGGCTCAGTGCGGAAAGGGCATATTTTTCATCATTTTGGCCTAAAAACCGACAGAATCCACCCATGTTAGTTCCGCACAAGATACGTGAGTATGTCAAGAGATAAAGTACGGAGTATAGGGGCAAACTGTGCAGCGGTTCTGTGTGAAATGGCTGCATTTTGATGGACGTTTTTGTACTTTATTAGTGTTTTGTGCTGCAGGCAATTTTGCGGGCTTCTTGATCTATGAGGCTCCGCTCACGCGGAGCCTCATAGTTCTAGGAGTAACCGACGGCCACACTAGTGGGGCTACACGTGATGCATACATTTACATAATTAGTAAAACAAAATGAAAGACAGCCATTGGAACTGGCGTATTTTTACGGACAAGCCACCGAAATCGTCAAGATTTTTCACTTTTTTTGTGTGGTCTGTTTCAAGTCGATCATTAGGCTTCGTAAATGACTGCTGAATGTATGAGGTATGTAAATGAACTCTGGGGTGGGATAAAAGAGGTGAAATTCGGACAATTTTGGAGAGGCCGTTTTTTTAGGGTCTCTTGCTACCACATGGAAACGAACAGGTTGTTCCTCCAGCGTTACATGCAAATGAATATGGAACATGTCAGCTGCTTGGAGTTGTCACGCCCCAACTATCGCATCGGTCCCAACTATAGTTGGGACTGTCCCAACTATAGTGCAACAGTTGGGTCGGCCCAACTATAGTTAGGACTGGAGTTGCGCCGGATGCTTCATGCTTGATAGATCTTGTTGGATTAAATGTTCCGCGGCGCTGGCACCGTGTATTCGTCGTGCATGCATGCCGCAAGGCTGGCCGGTCACGTGGTACTGCCTAGTTGGATGAGTTGTCCAGCTGCTGGGTTGATTGTCCAGCAACATTTTGCAAAATTCAAAGATTGCCATGGCCGGCCAACTAGTATAGATGGGCCCCACCCATAGCTAATGTCAAAGGTCCCAAGTAAAGTCGGACAGTATGTAATGTGCTGTAGGGAATGTTTTATAGTCGTCGTACATCAATGTAAACTATAGTTGGGACCGCCAAATAAAAATATTGCGGTGGCCCAACTACAGATGGTCCCCACCCGTAGATAATTTCATTGGTCCCAAGTAAAGTCAGATGTGTATTAGAGTTGTAGGGAATGTTTTATAATCGTACAACAATGTACACTATAGTTGGGACCGCAAAATAAAAAGATTGGAGTGGCCCAACTATAGATTCGCCCCATCAATAACTAATTTCAGTGGTCCCCAGTAAAGTCAGACGTGTATCAGAGCTGAAGGGAACGTTTTACAGTTGTACATCAATGTAAACTATAGTTGGGACACTGCAAAATAAAAAGATCGGAGTGGCCCAACTATAGATGGGCCAGCCCAACAATGGAACTTACAGTTGGGACCGTCCCAACTATAGTTGGGACAGGCCCAACTATAGTTGGGCCAGCCCAACTGTGGAACTACAGTTGGGACAGGCCCAACTATAGTTGGGACAGGCCCAACTATAGTTGGGACCGATGCGATAGTTGGGGCGTGACAGAGTTACTCAAGCTAGTTTACCAAAAGAATTGAGGAAGTCAGCAATTTTCTTGATGTTTGTTGTGATGACTTCGATGTATTCTCTGTTGGCCCAATCCTCCTGAATTTGTTGCTGGACTGTCGACTGAGGTGCCGGTGCATGTCGCATTCGAGACATTTTGATGAAGTTTTGATTGTGTTTTAGGTGAAATTCCACGGACTGAGTTCACTTCCTGCTTCCAGAATCTTGCCTTGTTTCCCAACTGCACGTTGTAAAATTCCATGTATTCAGACTCATCACCCGTGTACTGTTGTGTTGCTCAATCTGATTGGACAACTAACTGAGTATTGCTTTACATAATCCAATCATAACGTCGTTTTGTTGTGCACTGGCAGCGTAATCTGCTGAAATTTTTACAACGTGTATTTGGTACACCGCACTGATGACAGAGCTGTGACAGATCTTGGTGACTTTCTACAACATGTCCAACGTATTTTGCTGAAAGTGAAAGTATGAAAAAGATGCTCATTGTCGGCAACAGCATTGGCAATAAGGTATGACAAACTTTACATTATTTTGTGCTATTAATTTATAAGCTTGAACTGATGATCATGTTCACGATCGATTGTAAATAAAACCATCGTCTTGCAAGTTGCATAGCCGGCCGGCCCAGGTAGGACTCCGTGTCGTCCAACTGGGCTTTTGCATGTATGTATGTATGTGACTGTGAGTTTCATTTCGGATGAATAGCGTTCAGCCTCAACTTGCGCACACGATAGGAAGGCTACATTTGCAAATTTTGAAATGATTCCGGGATTTCTAGTGACGTATATTTCTCTGCTGTACAGACTTACCGTCAACTGTCTAGTGATGGTTCTGAAATTTTTAGATTTGTGTCCGAAAAATTTTGAGAAGGAAAAATGTGGATTTTTTTTTCATTTTTCATTTTTAGATTATTTTTGTTAATATTCCCCCCCCCCCATTCTTATCTTCAAGTTAGGTTTCGGATGACGTAACTGACTTCGTTTCAAGTTTATAGAAAATAATAGATTGATGAATCGCATTTTTGACAATGATTGTGTCATACACAGTCATCTGGATTAATTTTTAAACATAAATTATACATAGTGACGTTTTTAGAGCTATTAATTGTTTTGATGTTACTTTTGTGTGATAAGGTGAATTTTTGTGAAGTAATGATTAAAAAAAAAAAAAAATAACGATAGCTACAGAATGGGGGCGGTGGACGCAAATCTAAACAAATTCATTCTCATGGCCTGTAAATAATGCGTTCTTTAATTTGTTCCTAAAATGGGATTCAAAATGCTAGAGTTATGGCAGGCAACCATCATTCAAAGGCAGAGTAAAAACAAAGTAAGCATAAAGCAGCTTCTTGTCCAGCCTTTTGGAAAAAATGAAGGAATTCATTTTTTTCCTTCTCCAACAAACATGACAAAGATGGCGGATGGATTCTTCAATTTTCCCAACCAATTTGCTGATACTGAACCCTTTCTACATAGCTACACGTGTACAATTTTGTTGGAAACAAATAAAGAGACAATATATCCTTCATTTTTAAAAAAAGCCCGGACGAGAAACTAATTTTGTTTGTACTCGGCCTTTGTGTCACCCATTATCCATGGAGCCAAGTCTCCTGTAGAACATCTGATTCCGGTATGTCAAAGCATGCAGATTTATGCGATCTCCCGCCTCAGCCAATCGGAGTTGACTTTACTATAAAATCGTGACGTCTTTTTATTCCCAAATCAGGACTAAAATTGTGATTGGTCAATTCGAATGTAGTGTTTTGTAATACAACAACAGCCGCGCGCTTGTTGTGTAACATAATACAGAGCGAGTGACCACAGCCTTTGTTGCTGTGTCTAGCGTTTTTTTTTATCCATGTTTAGACGCGACAGCGGGTGAATGACCGAAGACCTGACATAGAAAGCGTTCGCTGATTGGTCAAAATCTAGAGGTCAAGATGCGGTTGTCTTGCATAATTAATCAGCGAATCTGTTCATAAATTAGAGATCATGGCTTTGGCCATGGTCTATTAAGTCAAAGACTATTATTTAGGTAGCATAAAGCCAAAATGCTTTAGGCTGTGTCGGAATTACTTGGCCGCAGTTTGAAATAACACACGGGTCTATGGGAAGTGACTGCAGCCCCTACCATAGACACGTGCGTAATTTCCAGCCAAGTAATTTGGACATGTTGTGCCCATTCTTGAAAATCACGCATTCTCGAGAATGGGCATGCACATTCTTGTGAATGTGCAACTGGATCCTTGCTCAATCTTGGCAAAAAATAACTCTTCCAGATTGAGCGCACATTCTCGAGAATGCGCGACAAGATAACGGTCTTGTCGATGCCGAGCACCGGCTGCGCTTGGCAAGTCTAGCTGAATCCTCGTTCACTGATTCTCAATAATTATACTGTTGCAACGCAAGGCACTGAAAAGTAGAGTGGATATGATAAGTAAAGGCGTATTAATATGGGGGGGGGGAACCGGGAAAATATAAGAGACATAATAATACTAGTGCAAAGAATTCTGATTTTTGGGATAATAAAAGCGGGGGGGGGGGGGGGGGGGGACGTAAGAATGAAGAATGTGAAGAATGAGAATGAATACTGCGACATCCCATAGTGCTAATGCTATTTCCCATTTAAATTGCCACCAATTTATTGTTCACATCCCACCATAACGTCGCAGAGCTGGATTCTATCTAGTCAAAAGAGCAATTTTGGCAGCTTCTGGACATCGTTTTTTTCGTGGCACGCATATGATACATGCAGGGACTTGTAACTTGTCTAGCCTAAACAAAGCACTTCCCAGACTAGTTCCCAGTCCTCCGTTATTACAAAACTTCCCATAGTGGGCAGAAAAAAGCAATAATAACAGGTTTAATTTGATTCAAATTATCGTAGTTATACGAGTACAGAAGCATAGCTCATTTTCTTTCCTCTTTATATGAATTGTTTCCCTTTTAACCGCTATACAATTCATTTAACATAATTATGTCGTGCAATGTTTGTTAAGATTGGGCAAAATTCATAAATTGTGCACGTGATATTCCCACCCAATCTTAAGAATGAGCGCTCATTCTTAAGAACGCGTGCTCGTTCTTAAGAATGGGCGCTCATTCTTAAGAATGCGCGCCCATTCTCGAGAATGTGCATGCCCATTCTCGAGAATGCGTGATTTTCAAGAATGGGCACAACAGCCACGGCCTTAGTGCTTGGAACCTTGCATAGACTCTACAGTCATCATGTGCTCGTATGTATACATTGTACATAATGTACAACAATGAATCTTGGTGCATTCACCTAGTATTGTAGAGTTTACAATACAGCCTGGAGGATTTCAGCTTTTATTTAACACCTCGCACTTCTGGTTAAAGGGAAAATACAACATTTGCAAACATCAAAAAATAAAACTACCAAATCATTTTGAAATACCTTGCTGGACTGTTAGTGAATGACAGTGTAAAGCATCCTGTAAAATCATGGCACCTGGTATACTGTCATTTTCAAGAAAAGTGGTATTTTTGTATCAATTTCCAACGCTTGTGCCGACCAGCATTGGAAAAAACTGGTTTTTTTTTCAAATACTGGCCCCAATTGACCATCGCACTTGTTTGCAATCGATTACACACCTATGAACGGGTACAAGCCAGCTAGACTGGTTCCCTGACCTTACAATTCCCCAATGTATGTAAACTGCTCTGTTTCTCCTTATATGGAGTCAGGGAACCAGACTACAGAAAAATGATTGTTTTTCTTGGTTTTTATAGCATTTTTGAACCCAAAACCTCAAAAAAAGTCAGTGTAACTATATTTGCTATATATTTCCAACCCCCAATTCCATCCATTTCTGAAAATTACAGCAAAAGCAAATGATGTATATTCCCTTTAAACCATTTTACAGCCCAGCTCACATCAATGACAACAAACGCAAGTTTACACATGTAACAATGTAAACTGTGATGTATGCATTTTAGGCACTAGCACTGCATACAAGGTTGTGCAAAAGTATCTCGCAATATAATCAGAATTCTCATTGAGCAGTCTTATGTATGAAATTTGACCAAGTTAAAAGATGTGTTCTTCCAGTTTTTCTTGCTTTAGGATTTGACCAACACGTATGGCACCCAGTTACGTTTCATCTTCTAGAGCATTTCAAGTTTTGTCACTATAAGTTTATTACTTGAAACTCCAAATGACCTGTCCCCCCCCATTTTTTTTCACTGTAGCCACATCTGACACACTTGGCTGTGCTGCCAATAATCCTCTGTACTGTTGACGTCACATATGTACTTTCTTATGGGAGCTTGGTGGGGAAGATGGTTTCGTAGCCCCATAGAAAAATACTCTTGTAGTGAACGAAGTGTGACGTCATCAGTACAGAGGCTCATTACTCAAAGTGGCCAAAACCACTTCCCAAGTTCCCCTAGACCTGTATGTTAATGTCAGCTGCAGAAAAGTAATTTAGATAAAACCATGTGCAAGTCATATACATGTACAAGTCATATACATGTACTATAGGCTACATATAAACTTCATTGCTCAAATGAACAACCATAGCGCCCTCTGTTGACATACTAGAGAATTACTTTCAAGTGTTCAGCAAAACGTGTCTTGGTCTCCAGTAAAGGCTTCATCTGGGTTCAGAACATAGATATTAAATTACTAGAGCGCTGACTCGTGTACAAAGTGATGCCTGCTGGGCGCATCCATGTTTGTGCACAAACTTATGGAAAACTCGAAGTTTTGTACAGCTTTTGTACGGCTATTTGCATATTTGCGTTTGTATCTTTGTTCGGTGTGTTACCGAAGCCGATACGCCCAAACCGAAACGCACGATCAGCAAATGAGCGTTTAATTTTGCTCTACGCAAACAGCGCAACGCGTGCGCATTTCAGCTGCAGTCTTTTTCTAACCATCATGCATGACGTGCTTAAGTTGTTTGCGTACGTTCTACTTGAACGTTGCACTTTCAAAATTAAATCCATCTATTTTCATTATGTTCTACAAACACGCGCATGAATTCAAAATGTCTGCGCCCAGGATGGCTTCAAAGCGTCTCCGCGCGCAAGAATGTGGAGTTTATTGCTCTAGTAATTTAATATAGCTCTATGGTTCAGAATCATTTAGAAGCAATTGCTCAAACTTGGTAATGGAAACACTCTAAACTGTAGTAGGGTCATATTACAGAATCTAAAATTCTTAAAAACAGAAAGTGCATGGATCTTTTATTGAGAATTCCTTGAGTTAGGGGCCTTAAATTGTGGAGCCTGAAGCTGAAATTGTAGAAACAACCGGGGTTTCATAAATATCAGTATCATCTTGCTGCTGCTTCATTGCAGTCTCTCGTTGTGAGGTAATATGTTGTAATCACAGCCAAGTCAATTCCGATATAAGTTGGTCCTTGTTTTCCGGGTAACTCAACCTTGCGTGCCCTAATTGCAGAAATAGTTGGGGCTGTGACAATAAGCTGCTGCATAAACACAGTCTTGGCACTACATAATTAAAATAGCCGGAATATTCACGGAGCATTGATTAACTCCTCACGGCCCAACCAAAAAAACCTGTAATTGAGATCGTGTTTATGTGTTGGGTGAACGGTCATTGGTGGATCGGGGGGGGGGGGGGGGGGGGGGGGGGGGGGGGGGGGGGGGGGAGGGGGGGCAACTGGGCCATCCCCCCCCATCAATTTGTTTCTTTTTTTAATCAGAGGAGTGAACATGAATGTTGCATATCTCCCTCACAAGCCAACAGCTAGACATACCTATAATTGTACAGTTTTGCTTGGCACAAGACATAAAATACTCAAACTGTCAGGTTATCATTTTATTTGTTTACAAAGTTTCTTGACACGAACACAACTATCTTATCTCAGGTTCGGTAACCTTTTGTGCCAAAAGTCCACGAAGGGTACATGGCATGAATTTTAAACTTGAACATAATTTGTCCAGAGGACTCTGAAATGTATGAAAACTATGAGACAATCCCTTTTTGTTACAATTTTTGTAAAGTGCCTTTTTAAAATGTTCATTGCTTTTTCTGAAAGGCACTGTTGCTGTAATGTCATTTACATGTACATGTACATGTAAGGCACACACTGTTCTGTTTGGGATTGTGGACCTTCATTAAAGCCAGAGTCCATCATTTGCAGCTATCCAAAAAGTAACTGGTGTAATTATTGTTGAAAAACATAGTTGGTTGAAGATAGTAAGGGGACTAAACTCCCTGTGAAATGATTCTTTCTGGCAAGCTGTCATTTTGAAGAAATCATTGAAAGAAGGCCTTTCCAACGGTGCGTCTTAAGAAGCACTGTTCGAAATTGCCGTTAGTAGTTCGTTTTTTTATTCGGCAAAGCGCGCGCAAGCGTTGACACGACGCATATGCGCGCGTGGTTGCTATAATTCGTCGGATCAGTGCGCGACATCGCGTAGCTGCAATTGGCTCAGTGAGAACGTGTCTCGGACACTGAATTCAGGCCCAATTCAAAACATGATTCAGCAACTTTTGATTTAAAATTGAGATCCTAGAATGTTGTTTTTTACGAAATATACAGCTGAAGCGGAGCTGAAACTTCATCAGGTTAGTTGTTCAGCACCCTTCTTTAGATTTTGAGCACTTTTGTTACTTCAAACGAACAAAATGCACAAATTACAAATGATGGACTATATACCTTTAAGATTTACAAATTTTAACCATTTGCTCATACATGTAAATATATATTTGTAGTTTGCTAACTAACTACTGGCACAACAAAAACACTTACAAAGTGCAGCAAAAAAGCCAAAACTCCAGTAGCAACTTTTAATAATGATACAGTTTTCTTTGTGTAAAAGGAAATTCTCAAAACCAAAAAGATACCAAAAACACTCTGAATTTGGCAATATGAGCAATTTTTCATGCACACATGTGCACATGGAAGTATTAGATAGGAACCAAAGAACACATTTCAACAGCAGTTTTTAAAATGTCGCAGCTTTGGTGTCCCTTTTATACGTGAAACCATTCATGAACTATTTAGCTGTCAGGAAATTAGATGTTTTATGCTTTGCTACCAAATATTTAGGTAAAAGTCCTATAATTTGAGCAACTAAAATAACTTGTACACCTATTTCACTGTTGGTAATACTAGGGCAACAAATATTACAATGTAAAGAAGGACACCAAAATTCATTGGCCTCCACATTTACGGAAAAAGCCGTATAACTTTCAATGCTGACATGGCAGCCCATTATTCATGAATGACGGTATTGTGGTATTCCATTTTCCTATCATTTTGTGTTCAATAAATCAAATTTGACAGAATGATATTGACTCCACCTCAACTTAAATTTGGACTCTACTTTCCAAAATTGATTGGTAGAGTTTTATGCTAAACACTGAGCCATTTATTGTCATGTGCAGCAGCATTCCTGCATTTGACAAATTAGGACTCATTAAGGCACAGGCTGCCCAGCCGATACTGAAGTAGCATTATTAGAGTACATTTACATCCAGTGGTGTTGTAGTGTTTGGCTAATCAGTTTGGACAAGTCATTTGGTCTAATCATGGAGTGGCTTGTGCTTGGATACATAAGTATTTATTGCCTTTTTGAGGACACACAGAAAATGTATGTGTACTGTGTGTAATTCTATGCCCTCTGAGTTCTATTTGTAAGAAATGTATCTCAAAAACAGCTGTTGGGTTTACATAAATTGTAGCCAAAAACAACTCCTTTTGGCTGTATCACCAGCAAAAATATTCACATAGCTTGCCACCCATATGTCGAGAGCTGTGTACAAAACATGTAGTGTTAGTGCCCATTGGGTGGACAAGCTGTATCTTATTCAGCCATTTACCACACAGAAATTATGGGGTTTTTTTTGGGGGGGGGGTGGGTAGGTGTATGAGTAGGAGGAAAGATTTCTTCTTGTTTCAGAACCATTGGTAGTTCTTTAATACTATTTCATTTTCTGTGCAACTTAAAACACAATGCTTGTCATTTCATCAGCGACGTGTAAGGCCTACACTAAGAATCTCATTCTATATGAGTCATCTTAAAAAAAATTAAAACAATTAAAAAACAACATGTGTGTCGAGAGCAAAAAAAAGTAAAATCACCAAATTTTATGTCTTTCAAGTTATTATCAGTCTCATTACACAGTGATTCCCATTTACATGCGTGGGTAATTTAAAGAGACCATCGTAACATTATCTTTAGATATACTTATTGTACCGACATATCCTGTGATTTTTTACTCTGTGAGCATTTGGAAAGTTTGAACTTGGCGTTGTATTTGAAATACTTGTTTTACAAATTATCTCCCAAAATAAGTCAATTGAGACCTTTTTTTTTTAGGTATAAAAAAAAGGAAGTTTCAGCTGAATATATTCATACATCAAATGATAGATACAATGTATGTGGGCAATTTCACACTTATGGGCCCAAAAGTGTGACATTTGAGAAGACCTTTAAGTTTTGATGATAAAAGTACGATCTTGGTTTCTTCATTTTTGCTGTTAACATTGCAATCTTTGAATAAATATCCTCACCTGCAAAGGATATAACTGGTTTTTGTATTTTAGAAAAATGTAGTGGATATTGTTTTAAAAAGTGTTACGTACGTAGTAAAGGACAGACGTTTTAGATTAAGTCACAAATTAAGCATAAAATTTCATGATCCCCTAATGTTGACTTATTTAAGAAAATGTACCCTGGAGGAATGCTATCAGTCAAAACCTAGAAAACTCGGAGTCAATGTGAAGAATTATTTGATATTATATAATCAGCTTTTATACTTACGAACAGACTGGACATTTGTCACAAAATGTCTGTCCCTGTTCGTACGTAACCCTAATCACATCATAAATTTGAAGCCAGTGTGAAAACTGTTATATTTTTGCTTGATAACAAAATGGCTTAATAATGTCACTGGAAGTGCCTATTAGAAATTGAATTTCTCCTTAAAACACCTTTTTTTCTTGCAGTGTGTCTGTCCATGTTACATACGTATCACACAGAAAGATGCCTGTTATTTTCTCCCCCCAAAAAAGATAACATCTTTTGTCTTGTCTTGTCCTAGACACTTTCAACTTAGCAAGGTAGAAAAAAAACCAGAGAAAATACTACCGGTAGCTCATCTTTTACCCTCTATATCCAATATCCATAAACTTATCTAATTAGCCCATTAGTGTGGAATTGCCCATACACTGAAATGAGGGATAGCTCAGACACTTTCAGTAGTTGATAGAGAACACGTCAAAAAACTTTTGCATTGTATCCCAAAACAGTGGCAGATCTAGGGGGGGGGGGCACCCCCCTTCCCTGGCAGTGACTGAAATGTTCTCAAATAAGGTCATTTTTCACGTGAGAGAGCGCCCCCCCCACTTAAATGAGGGTTAGCCTCGACACCTGGTACCCCCCCCCCCACCCCCCTGCAATAACCTCTCTAGATCCGCCCTTGCACAACATCCAGAGATCACATTTAAAAGTTGACAAATTACGTGTGCATCTAGTACATATATGTGCATTGTACCTCAAAAAATTGTTACTAGGAATCTTGCTAAACTCTCCTACATACATACATGTGCCGGTAGTACGTCTAACATGAAGTTGTCAAAGAACACAAGAAAATAAGCCTGAACTATTTAAACACATACTGAATCCATCATACAAATGTAAAATATCATTGGATTACCATGTATTTACTAATTCATCGAAAAACTAAAAAAATCAAAATAATTTTAAATTTTGACTTTTGCCAGTTGAAAACCGTGCTGCTTAACATTTTCTCCATCTTAACAGCTGTCTGAAATGGAACAGCTGCCTGAAATGGACCATTGTACTAGGCAGTTGGTCCATATACAGCAACTACATGTACCTCTGGTACTGTTAAAGTCACAGTTCCTTACGGGACAAAGCGTTCACGATAGAGTTTTTCGTAGTAAGGCACACACTTAGCGATTTGTTCAATGGCCTTAGGATTGGTTACGGATGTCGAAGCTGGTTTGGGCAGGTCTTCGTTCTTCCTGAAGCCACTACTGCTCCTGTCGTTGGTGTGGTAGTCACAGTTGAAGTACCCTAGCTGGTCCTGACAAGTGATCCATTTGGCGTACATCGGTGAGCCGTCATTCTCCCATTCGATCAGCTTCCTGCTGAAAGGAATTCCAGTGGCCTTGCAGTAGGCAGCCATCACAGTCTCGGGCTGGGAGACCAAATCGTCGGCATCCATGACAAACGGCGCCGGATCCAGGTTTTCTCTGACATACTGGTAGAGTTCCAGGAGGTCCTTGAAACCCGCGTGCTCCCCCATGTCGGCTTTGTGCCACTCCTCCTTTGCCTCCTCATCAAGAAATGGTTTGCTTGGTCTCCACTCATCATGGCATTTTCTCCAGGAGGGTATGACCTGTATAAGACCCGTAAATGAACATCTTATATGAAGTTATGCAACTTATAGATTTGCTATTACTGACTTTTTCAGTAATTTGACAGCAGTCTTGGGTGCTCCTCTACAGAGGGCTTATTTGTCCTTCTCTCGGATGTCGCCCCCATTCATGTCTTTATTCTACTCTTGATACAACATTTGTGAATAACCTATTTCGTTTATTCTATCATTTTGTGTAACAACTTTTTTTGTTTCAATGGAAATTAAAACAAACAAACAAACAAACAAACACCCCCAACACCCCAACAAACAAGCAAACAAACCTTGTTTGGATTCCTGATTAGGAAAGTGTGGCGGTACCCATGAGGCAGGTGATCCATATCCACCTTCCCTGTAAGGCTCATGGCAAAATCCTTGACGAATACCAAGCTGGCATCCTTGTGTTCTGCCTCCAGTGTCTTCTTCACCCAGGCGTATGTGAAGATAGAGGAGTCGTATGCAGAGCCTGCACTAGGCAGAATGGCCGTGGCTCTTGGGGCTGGGGTGGACGCAGATTCACACTCTGGTCCCCCAACGAGGGCCTTGTTGTAGGGGTCATTGTAGAAAACCCCGCCTTCTAGATTGCTGATGGAGCGCAGGACTGCCGTGGTGCAGGAACGAGGGACTGACCACAGTATAACACGGGGCTGCTCATGAATACTGGCCATGATACTGCAACAAACTGGCTGTCCTGTACATGTAATAATATGTGGTCAACAGGTTGGCAGCATTTGGACAACCAGGCAGGTCAGTGTTTGTGGTCATGGTTAGGGCATACAGTGTTATGCTTCACTGCTTAACCCTAACAAAGGACTCTTTGAGGGTCAAATACCAAAAAACACAGTTAGCTTTACTAGGGGCAGTTAGGGTTAAAGTACAGTACCATAGAGCTTTGTGTACATAGTGGAAAAAAAAGCTTTTTAAAATGTAGGCCTACTTTGAACAATTCTTTTCTGATAAGCTGTGTGTAGGCCTATGGATTAGTGAACATTTGTATGTTAATACATTAGTAGGACTTGTGGATTGTGTACTTGAGAAATGCTGTACACAAAAAGTGCTGAAGTTTCAAGTGATCAAGCACATTCAATTTCTGTAGCATAACTGGGGCCCAACTTACAGAGAGGCACTTTAGTGGCCTCACTTTTTTTAGGAGGGGGCACTCAATAGATTTAAACAATAGATAAAGCTCATTTTAAAACAAAAAGTCCCATTTTTGTCCTCTTCCATTTTTGTTTATGCCTACCTACATGTATGAAAAAAAACAATATTTTGATGCTTTGTGCCTTTAACGATCAAAGGACATGGCTGAATTATTGTCAGAAAAATAATTCAAAATTGTATTATTGTTTGGATTCTTGATCAGAAAACTCTCTGGTGGTAATTTTACATGCACACACAGTATACCAACATTGGCTGGATTAGTTGTTAACATGTTTGTTCGCTTGTACCCCCTGCCCTGCAAACAGGACGCTGGGATACTCTGAATTTACGCTCTGATTGGATAGATTTTGGTGACCTGTGACCTGCACGTCATCACGGCCATCTACTAGGCAAGGTTTGAAACAGCCATTAAGACCGAGTCGTCAGATTGCTCAGTAAAGCGCATGCATAGTAGACTGTCGCATGGGGAGTAGACTGTCGCACGGGTAACCCATGCGACAGTCTACTACGCATGCGTATTTACCCTGTGCGTGAATCCTCCTCGCGCGCGCGTTTGTTTAACAGCAAGAATAACATCTGGCACGTGATGATGAATTGACCAGTGAGAGTTCGGCTCTCGATCATGAATATGTATGAGGTATCGTAAACAGCAACTACCTCTGGTACTGTTAAAGTCACAGTTCCTTACGGGACAAAGCGTTCACGATAGAGTTTTTCGTAGTAAGGCACACACTTAGCTATTTGTTCAATGGCCTTAGGATTGGTCACGGATGTCGGAGCTGGTTTGGGCAGTTCTTCGTTCTTCCTGAAGCCGCTACTGCACCTGTCGTTGGTGTGGTAGTCACAGTTGAAGTACCCTAACTGGTCCCGACAAGTGATCCATTTGGTGTACATCGGTGAGCCGTCATTCTCCCATTCTATCAGCTTCCTGCTGAAGGGAATTCCAGTGGCCTTGCAGTAGGCAGCCATCACAGTTTCGGGCTGGGAGACCAAATCGTCGGCGTCCATGACAAACGGCGCCGGATCCTGGTTTTCTCTGCCATACTGGTAGAGTTCCAGGAGGTCCTTGAAACCCCCATGCTCCCCCATGTTAGCTTTGTGCCACTCCTCCTTTGCCTCCTCATCAAGAAGTGGTTTGCTTGGTCTCCACTCATCATGGCATTTTCTCCAGGAGGGTATGACCTGTATAAGACCCGTAAATGAACATCTTATATGAAGTTATGCAACTTATAGATTTGCTATTATTGACTTTTTCAGTAATTTGACAGCAGTCTTGGGTGCTCCTCTACAGAGGGCTTATTTGTCCCTCTCTCGGATGTCGCCCCCATTCATGTCATTATTCTACTCTTGATACAACATTTGTAAATAACCTATTTTGTTTATTCTATCATTTTGTGTAACAACTTTTTTTGTTTCAATGGAAATTAAAACAAACAAACACCCCAACACCCAAACAACCCAACAAACAAGCAAACAAACCTTGTTTGGATTCCTGATTAGGAAAGTGTGGCGGTACCCATGAGGCAGGTGATCCATATACACCTTCCCTGCAAGGCTCATGGCAAAATCCTTGACGAATACCAAGCTGGCATTCTTGTGTTCTGCCTCCAGTGTCTTCTTCACCCAGGCGTATGTGAAGATAGAGGAGTCGTATGCACAGCCTGCACCAGGCAGAATGGCCGTGGCTCTTGGCACTGGGGTGAACGCAGATTCACTCTCTGGTCCCCCAACGAGGGCCTTGTTGTAGGGGTTATTGTACCAAACCAGACTGGTTTTGGCTTCAAATAAAACAGCAGTGTATGTTTTAGTACACTGCACATCAACAGGTTCGCAATGTCTAGACATACAGTGAAGGTCCGTGTTTGGGACATTTAATTATTCAGAGCAATTTTCCGAACGACTTCAACAATTTCAGTAGTTAATAGACAACATATCAAATAACTTTTGCATTCTATCCCACAACAGTGGTAGATTCAGAGAGGTGCAGAGGGAGTGCCCCCTCCCAGCAGTGGCCAAAATTTTCTCAAATAAGGCAATTTTTCATGCGAGAGAGCCCTTCCTCCCCCCTGGCACCCCCACAACATGCAGAAATCACATTTAAAAGTTGAACAATTATGTGTGCATCTAGTACATGTACCTCAAAAAATATGTTGCTAGGAACCTTGCTAAACTCTCCTACATACATACATGTACATCTAACATGAAGTTGTCAAAGAACACAAGGAAATAAGCCTGAACTAAGCTAAACGTATACTGAATCCATCAAAAAAAATGTAAAATATCATTGGGTTACCATGTATTTACTAATTCATCGAAAAACTTTTGACTTTTGCCAGTTGGAAACTGTGCTGCTTAACACTTTCTTCATCTTAACAGCTGTCTGAAATGGAACAGCTCAGAGCTGCCTGAAATGGACCAGTGTACTAGGCAGTTGGTCCAAGAATATTATACAAATATAACATGGTTTGAGGGTGGACAGTCGATATTCGCTCCCCGAGGTATTGGAAGTTGACAAACTTTGTCAACTTCCAATACCTTAGGGGAGCTAATATCGGCTGTCCACCCGAAATAAACCATGTTATATTTGTTTTCTTATACTTCATACATATTCAGTTGCCGAATTTTTTTTTATATATATATACACCTAAAACAAAATTTGGGGAAACTTGTACAGCTCACCAAAAGAATATTGTTGCTCAATTTCAATTACTATAGTTTGGTTCGTTTGCAATATAATACAGTAGCTACAGTTGTAAATTTAGTTGTTTGTGTACAACTTTCTTTTGTACAGGAGACATCTTTACACGGTCCATACATTTTCTCCAGTGCGGCATCATTGAGCTCTGGAAATTAACATTTACGCGAACCGTGCAACCATTCATCTCTCTTGGGCGATGTTCGCGCGTGCGTACTGCACCAGGGCGACAGTTCCTCGATTGCTCAGTAAAGCGCATGCGTAGTAGACTGTCGCACGGGTAACCCATGCGATAGTCTACTACGCATGCGTATTTACCCTGTGCGTGAATCCTCGCACGCGGGTTTGTTAAACAGCAAGAATAACATCTGGCACGTGATGGTGAATTGACCAGTGAGAGTTCGGCTCTCGATCATGAATATGTATGAGGTATAGTAAACAGCAACTACCTCTGGTACTGTTAAAGTCACAGTTCCTTATGTAACCCTGAAAAATGACACACTATGGGGGAACTCGCAAAAACCAAAGATTCAATGGGGATTAACTAACGAAACTAAACTAAACTCAGGATCTTTGAAAGGAAAAGACGCGAGGAAATTGAATTAATAGAGACAAAGGACACAAATCTAGATTTCAAACCAAAAGAAAAAAACCACATTTATTTACTACGAACTGAAATAAAACTAAAAGAACAGAACGATAGACCAAAGACCGATAGCCAACTTAAAGACTGAACTTTACAAAAACCTAAAATACATGTAACTAAAAGCAAGACTAAAACTAAAACCTAAAACCAACACAGTGTGAATTAATGGATCTTATTAGAGTACACTTTGACGAAAATCTGTAAACAAGAAAAAGAGAAGCAAAAAAACATAATAAGAAACAGTAAACAATGAAAACGAGGTCAAGTTATACGCTAGGTCTAAGTTATTTAAACAAAATAATATGTGGGAAAACCACTCCTCTTGGCTTTATGATGTACATACTAAAATAATGGTAATGGAGAAACATATCCATCCAACTACCAACCAAGGGTACAAATTCATAGGTCTCCACTTATAACCAGATTTCGAAATACAACCACAGAACTATAAACAAAAATAATCAAACGTTATAATTAAAAAGGCAATAAGACATTCATCAACCACTTGAACAAACTCATTAGGCAAGAAAACTCAGTCATTCTGATTACCAAGAAAACAAATCAATAATTCAACCTTGTAACAACACACTTTTCCTCAAAGATACCAAAACTGCAATGATCATGATCCATCACAAATTCAATCAAAAATCAAATCATAGCAAGACTGCTCATGAACTTACTAAAAACATGTCATAACCCTGAACATTATTAAAACAAAACAAACTTCTCAAAACTTATACACAAAACTGAACTGAGTACAAAATGTACATAACATAAATAAAACAATTTCATGTCAAAACTCACCAATGACTTGACAAGCAGACAATCCCAAGCAGGAAAACACTCTCCAGGTAGGAGGAACATATAAATGTGAACTTGTCTCTGCTGGTCTGCTGGCTGTACTAAATAAAGCTTAACTACGTGGCAGATTATATAGGGGAAAGGGGGGGGGTTCTAAACTGACACTTAAAATGATTTCTTTTTCCCGAGGGGAGCTACTAACTACACCAATGCAGTATACAATAATACAATACTCTGCACCCTGAACGTGACCAGTAGGAAGGTCATGAGTTCAAAGTTGACATCCATTTGTAGAACAGTAAATATTAATTGTCCTTATACCCTCTGAGTTCAAGCTATAAATCTTAAATTTGTAACCTTCGGAGTTAAGTTGCCGCAGAGCAGTAAAGCTTAATTCTTAACCTTGTCCTGACCTGACCTGAACGGTGAACTCAAATTTTCCTGAACACAGAGTGAATTTATCCATTTGTCTTATCCTAAAAAAAAAAACCTTATTGGACATTAACTACATCGTTATCAGACAAAACTTCACAACTAAATCTTGGCCCTGCCACATTTACGGGACAAAGCGTTCACGATAGAGTTTTTCGTAGTAAGGCACACACTTAGCGATTTGTTCAATGGCCTTAGGATTGGTTACGGATGTCGAAGCTGGCTTGGGCAGGTCTTCGTTCTTCCTGAAGCCACTACTGCTCCTGGCGTTGGTGTGGTAATTACAGTTCAAGTACCCTAAGTGGTCCCGACAAGTGATCCATTTTTCATACATCGGTGAGCCGTCATTCTCCCATTCTATCAGCTTCCTGCTGAAGGGAATTCCAGTGACCTTGCAGTAGGCAGCCATCACAGTCTCGGGCTGGGAGACTAAATCATCGGCGTCCATGACAAACGGTGCTGGATCCAAGTTTTCTCTGACATACTGGAAGAGTTCCAGGAGATCCTTGAAACCCCCATGCTCCCCCATGTTAGCTTTGTGCCACTCCTCCTTTGCCTCCTCATCAAGAAGTGGTTTGCTTGGTCTCCACTCCTCATGGCATTTTCTCCAGGAGGGTATGACCTGTGTAAGACCCGTAAATGAACATCTTATATGAAGTTATGCAACTTATAGATTTGCTATTATTGACTTTTTTAGTAATTTGACAGCAGTCTTGGGTGCTCCTCTACAGAAGGCTAATTTGTCCTTCTCTCGGATGTCACCCCCATTCATGTCATTATTCTACTCTTGATACAACATTTGTATAAAATAACCTATTTCGTTTATTCTATCATTTTGTGTAACAACTTTTTTTGTTTCAATGGAAATTAAAACAAACAAACAGCCCAACAACCCCAACAAACAAGCAAACGAACCTTGTTTGGATTCCTGATTAGGAAAGTGTGGTGGTACCCATGAGGCAGGTGATCCATATACTCCTTCCCTGCAAGGCTCAAGGCAAAATCCTTGAGCAATACCAAGCTGGCATTCTTGTGTTCTGCCTCCAGTGTCTTCTTCACCCAGGCGTGTGTGAAGATAGAGGAGTCGTATGCAGAGCCTGCACTAGGCAGAATGGCCGTGGCTCTTGGGGCTGGGGTGGACGCAGATTCACTCTCTGGTCCCCAACGAGGGCCTTGTTATAGGGCTCATAGTAAATCACGCCACGTTCTAGATTGCTGATGGAGCGCAGGACTGCCGTGGTGCAGGAACGAGGGACTGACCACAGTATAACACGGGGCTGCTCATGAATATTGGCCATGATACTGAAACAAACTGGTTATCCTGTACATATATGCATCAACAGGTTGGCAGCATCTGGACAACCAGGTTTGTGTTTGTGCTCTGTGGTTAGGGCATACAATGTTATCCTTCACTCCTTAACCCTAACGAAGTACCAAAAAAACCAGTTAGCTTTACCAGGGGCGGTTAGGGTTAAAGTACCATAGAGCTATGTGTACATCGTGAAAAAAAAAGCTTTTGAAAATGTACTTTGAACAATTCTTTCTGATAAGCTATGTGTAGGCCTATGGATTAGTGAACATGTTAATACGTTAGCAGGACTTGTGGATTGTGAACTTGAGAAATATATGCTGCACACAAAAAGTGCTGAAGTGATCAAGCACATTCAATTTCTGTAGCATAACTGGGGCCCAACTTACAGGGAGGCACTTTGTGGCCTCACTTTTCGGGAGGTGGTACTCAATAGATTTAAACAATAGAAAAGCTCATTTTAAAGGAAAAAGTCCCATTTTTGTCCTTCCATTTTTTTATGCCTACGGTACCTACGTGTATGAAAAAACAATATTTTGATGCTTTGTGCCTTTAACGATCAAAGGACATGGCTGAATTATTGTCAGAAAAATAATTTAAAATTGTATTATTGTTTGGATTCTTGATCAGAAAACTCTCTGGTGGTAATTTTACATGCACACACAGTATACCAACATTGGCTGGAGTAGTTGCCAACATGTTTGTTTGCTCGTACCCCCCGCCCTGCAAACAGGACGCTGGGATACTCTGATGAATTCACGCTCTGATTGGATAGATTTTGGTGACCTGTGACCTGCACGTCATCACGACCATCTGCTAGGCAAGGTTTGAAACAGCCATTAAGACCGAGTCGTCACTCTTTTATTCCCATTCATAAAGGCTTTATTTCGTTGAAAAGCGTAATAATGTGGGAACATCTGTAAATTGTATTATTGTTTGGATTCTGTAAATCTGTAAATTGTATTATTGTTTGGAATAAATGTTTTGTAAATTTTCGATTCTCGTCACTTGCTCAGGCTCCGTTTCGAATTCACGATGGGTCAGATTGCATGATGCGATGCTCAAAATTTGTCCACATCGTTCGCAGTGAAACATCAACAGAAATCACATCTGGTATGAAATGTGCGCATTTTCAAGGGAAAGTTTTCGGATAGCATTTGCGCGCATTGGCTAACTGCGGTCTTAAACGGCTGCAGCCAGATGCTTCATACATAGGTCATAGGCCACTTCCTTCACAAGATTCTGTGAAGCTCATTAGCGTATCCCAGTGCCCTATTTGCAGGGAGGGGTACAAGCGAAACATGTGTGTGGCATGATCCATCACTAGGAGAAATCCTAAACACTTTGATAGTGACTAACAGGGCCCATTTTTTTGTATGGTTCCCTGGTTGCTGTGCAGTGTAAAACGTTTGGCAATCTACTGTGACTAGTTCTTTTCTGTGGATGTAAAAAATTTGTCCTCTTAAACCCACGGTTGTATATTCCCACCCCATTGTTAAGGATTGTGCTCACCAAGACTTTAAGACTTTCCAGGCTGATTTGTCAAAAACAAAATGTGGAAAGCAAAAACACAAATTTTAAACTCTTTAAGTTTATTCTCATTCTCATTATACACTAACGTCTGTGTACATGCCTTGGTATTTTAAAGAGAGAACAATGTATTAGTAACAAATAACAAAGACACTGCGTTATTATCCAAAACAAATCTTTAGAGATTTATGTACTTATTGTACCAAATATCCTGTGAAGTTACATGTATTCTGCGGTGCTGCATTTTAAAATTTTGAATGTAATGTTGTACATGTAATATTTGAAATACGTGTTTTACAAATATCTCCAAAATGATTGAGACTTTTTTTTTTTTTTTTTTTTTTTAGATAAATGGATGTTTCAGCTGAATACATTTGTATATGTACATCAAATGATAGATTCATTTATGCTGATTCATATATGCTGCCTATCTGCACATAATGAAGCTGAAGTTGGTCCAATAATATAGTACAGCAACTAGCTCTGATACTGTTAAAAGTCACAGACAGTACCTTACGGGACAAAGCGTTCACGATAGAGTTTTTCGTAGTAAGGCACACACTTAGCTATTTGTTCAATGGCCTTAGGATTGGTCACGGATGTCGAAGCTGGTTTGGGCAGGTCTTCGTTCTTCCTGAAGCCGCTACTGCACCTGTCGTTGGTGTGGTAGTCACAGTTGAAGTACCCTAACTGGTCCCGACAAGTGATCCATTTGGCGTACATCGGTGAGCTGTCATTCTCCCATTCGATCAGCTTCCTGCTGAAAGGAATTCCAGTGGCCTTGCAGTAGGCAGTCATCACAGTCTCGGGCTGGGAGACCAAATCGTCGGCATCCATGACAAACGGCGCCGGATCCAGGTTTTCTCTGACGTATTGGTAGAGTTCCAGGAGGTCCTTGAAACCCGCGTACTCCCCCATGTCGGCTTTGTGCCACTCCTCCTTTGCCTCCTCATCAAGAAGTGGTTTGCTTGGTCTCCACTCATCATGGCATTTTCTCCAGGAGGGTATGACCTGTATAAGACCCGTAAATGAACATCTTATATGAAGTTATGCAACTTATAGATTTGCTATTACTGACTTTTTCAGTAATTTGACAGCAGTCTTGGGTGCTCCTCTACAGAGGGCTTATTTGTCCTTCTCTCGGATGTCGCCCCCATTCATGTCTTTATTCTACTCTTGATACAACATTTGTGAATAACCTATTTCGTTTATTCTATCATTTTGTGTAACAACTTTTTTTGTTTCAATGGAAATTAAAACAAACAAACAAACAAACAAACACCCCCAACACCCCAACAAACAAGCAAACAAACCTTGTTTGGATTCCTGATTAGGAAAGTGTGGCGGTACCCATGAGGCAGGTGATCCATATCCACCTTCCCTGTAAGGCTCATGGCAAAATCCTTGACGAATACCAAGCTGGCATCCTTGTGTTCTGCCTCCAGTGTCTTCTTCACCCAGGCGTATGTGAAGATAGAGGAGTCGTATGCAGAGCCTGCACTAGGCAGAATGGCCGTGGCTCTTGGGGCTGGGGTGGACGCAGATTCACACTCTGGTCCCCAAAAGAGGGCCTTGTTATAGGGGTCATTGTAGAAAACCCCGCCTTCTAGATTGCTGATGGAGCGCAGGACTGCCGTGGTGCAGGAACGAGGGACTGACCACAGTATAACACGGGGCTGCTCATGAATATTGGCCATGATACTGAAACAAACTGGCTGTCCTGTACATGTAATAATATGTGGTCAACAGGTTGGCAGCATTTGGACAACCAGGCAGGTCAGTGTTTGTGCTCATGCTTAGGGCATACAGTGTTATGCTTCACTGCTTAACCCTAACAAAGGACTCTTTGAGGGTCAAATACCAAAAAACACAGTTAGCTTTACTAGGGGCAGTTAGGGTTAAAGTACAGTACCATAGAGCTTTGTGTACATAGTGGAAAAAAAAGCTTTTTAAAATGTAGGCCTACTTTGAACAATTCTTTTCTGATAAGCTGTGTGTAGGCCTATGGATTAGTGAACATTTGTATGTTAATACATTAGTAGGACTTGTGGATTGTGAACTTGAGAAATGCTGTACACAAAAAGTGCTGAAGTTTCAAGTGATCAAGCACATTCAATTTCTGTAGCATAACTGGGGCCCAACTTACAGGGAGGCACTTTAGTGGCCTCACTTTTTTTAGGAGGGGGCACTCAATAGATTTAAACAATAGATAAAGCTCATTTTAAAACAAAAAGTCCCATTTTTGTCCTCTTCCATTTTTGTTTATGCCTACCTACATGTATGAAAAAAACAATATTTTGATGCTTTGTGCCTTTAACGATCAAAGGACATGGCTGAATTATTGTCAGAAAAATAATTCAAAATTGTATTATTGTTTGGATTCTTGATCAGAAAACTCTCTGGTGGTAATTTTACATGCACACACAGTATACCAACATTGGCTGGATTAGTTGTTAACATGTTTGTTCGCTTGTACCCCCTGCCCTGCAAACAGGACGCTGGGATACTCTGAATTCACGCTCTGATTGGATAGATTTTGGTGACCTGTGACCTGCACGTCATCACGGCCATCTACTAGGCAAGGTTTGAAACAGCCATTAAGACCGAGTCGTCAGATTGCTCAGTAAAGCGCATGCATAGTAGACTGTCGCATGGGGAGTAGACTGTCGCACGGGTAACCCATGCGACAGTCTACTACGCATGCGTATTTACCCTGTGCGTGAATCCTCCTCGCGCGCGCGTTTGTTTAACAGCAAGAATAACATCTGGCACGTGATGATGAATTGACCAGTGAGAGTTCGGCTCTCAATCATGAATATGTATGAGGTATAGCAAACAGCAACTACCTCTGGTACTGTTAAAGTCACAGTTCCTTACGGGACAAAGCGTTCACGATAGAGTTTTTCGTAGTAAGGCACACACTTAGCTATTTGTTCAATGGCCTTAGGATTGGTCACGGATGTCGAAGCTGGTTTGGGCAGGTCTTCGTTCTTCCTGAAGCCGCTACTGCACCTGTCGTTGGTGTGGTAGTCACAGTTGAAGTACCCTAACTGATCCCGACAAGTGATCCATTTGGTGTACATCTGTGAGCCGTCATTCTCCCATTCTATCAGCTTCCTGCTGAAAGGAATTCCAGTGGCCTTGCAGTAGGCAGCCATCACAGTTTCGGGCTGGGAGACCAAATCGTCGGCGTCCATGACAAACGGCGCCGGATCCTGGTTTTCTCTGCCATACTGGTACAGTTCCAGGAGGTCCTTGAAACCCCCATGCTCCCCAATGTTGGCTTTGTGCCACTCCTCCTTTGCCTCCTCATCAAGAAGTGGTTTGCTTGGTCTCCACTCATCATGGCATTTTCTCCAGGAGGGTATGACCTGTATAAGACCCGTAAATGAACATCTTATATGAAGTTATGCAACTTATAGATTTGCTATTATTGACTTTTTCAGTAATTTGACAGCAGTCTTGGGTGCTCCTCTACAGAGGGCTTATTTGTCCCTCTCTCGGATGTCGCCCCCATTCATGTCATTATTCTACTCTTGATACAACATTTGTAAATAACCTATTTCGTTTATTCTATCATTTTGTGTAACAACTTTTTTTGTTTCAATGGAAATTAAAACAAACAAACACCCCAACACCCCAACAACCCAACAAACAAGCAAACAAACCTTGTTTGGATTCCTGATTAGGAAAGTGTGGCGGTACCCATGAGGCAGGTGATCCATATACACCTTCCCTGCAAGGCTCATGGCAAAATCCTTGACGAATACCAAGCTGGCATCCTCCAGTGTCTTCTTCACCCAGGCGTATGTGAAGATAGAGGAGTCGTATGCACAGCCTGCACCAGGCAGAATGGCCGTGGCTCTTGGCACTGGGGTGAACGCAGATTCACTCTCTGGTCCCCCAACGAGGGCCTTGTTGTAGGGGTTATTGTACCAAACCAGACTGGTTTTGGCTTCAAATAAAACAGCAGTGTATGTTTTAGTACACTTCACATCAACAGGTTCGCAATGTCTAGACATACAGTGAAGGTCCGTGTTTGGGACATTTAATTATTCAGAGCAATTTTCCGAACGACTTCAACAATTTCAGTAGTTAATAGACAACATATCAAATAACTTTTGCATTCTATCCCACAACAGTGGTAGATTCAGAGAGGTGCAGAGGGAGTGCCCCCTCCCAGCAGTGGCCAAAATTTTCTCAAATAAGGCAATTTTTCATGTGAGAGAGCCCTTCCTCCCCCCTGGCACCCCCACAACATGCATAAATCACATTTAAAAGTTGAACAATTATGTGTGCATCTAGTACATGTACCTCAAATTTTTTTTGCTAGGAACCTTGCTAAACTCTCCTACATACATGTACATGTACATGTACATCTAACATGAAGTTGTCAAAGAACACAAGGAAATAAGCCTGAACTAAGCTAAACGTATACTGAATCCATCATAAAAATGTAAAATATCATTGGGTTACCATGTATTTACTAATTCATCGAAAAACTTTTGACTTTTTCCAGTTGAAAACTGTGCTGCTTAACATTTTCTTCATCTTAACAGCTGTCTGAAATGGAACAGCTGCCTGAAATGGACCAGTGTACTAGGCAGTTGGTCCAAGAATATTATACAAATATAACATGGTTTGAGGGTGGACAGTCGATATTCGCTCCCCGAGGTATTGGAAGTTGACAAACTTTGTCAACTTCCAATACCTAGGGGAGCGAATATCGGCTGTCCACCCGAAATAAACAATGTTATATTTGTTTTACTATACTTCATACATATTCAGTTGCCGAATTTTTTTAATATATATATATGCACCTAAAACAAAATTCGGGGAAACTTGAACAGCTCACCAAAAGAAGATTGTTGCTCAATTTCAATTACTATAGTTTGGTTCGTTTGCAATATAATACAGTAACTACAGTTGTACAGTTGTTTGTGTACAACTTTCTTTTGTACAGGAGACATCTTTACACGGTCCATACATTTTCTCCAGTGCGGCATCATTGAGCTCTGGAAATTAACATTTATGCGAACCGTGCAACCATTCATCTCTCTTGGGCGATGTTCGCGCGTGCGTACTGCACCAGGGCGACAGTTCCTCGATTGCTCAGTAAAGCGCATGCGTAGTAGACTGTCGCACGGGTAACCCATGCGATAGTCTACTACGCATGCGTATTTACCCTGTGCGTGAATCCTCGCACGCGGGTTTGTTAAACAGCAAGAATAACATCAGGCACGTGATGGTGAATTGACCAGTGAGAGTTCGGCTCTCGATCATGAATATGTATGAGGTATAGTAAACAGCAACTACCTCTGGTACTGTTAAAGTCACAGTTCCTTATGTAACCCTGAAAAATGACACACTATGGGGGAACTCGCAAAAACTAAAGATTCAATGGGGATTAACTAACGAAACTAAACTAAACTCAGGATCTTTGAAAGGAAAAGACGCGAGGAAATTGAATTAATAGAGACAAAGGACACAAATCTAGATTTCAAACCAAAAGAAAAAAACCACATTTATTTACTAAGAACTGAAATAAAACTAAAAGAACAGAACGATAGACCAAAGACCGATAGCCAACTTAAAGACTGAACTTTACAAAAACCTAAAATACATGTAACTAAAAGCAAGACTAAAACTAAAACCTAAAACCAACACAGTGTGAATTAATGGATCTTATTAGAGTACACTTTGACGAAAATCTGTAAACAAGAAAAAGAGAAGCAAAAAAACATAATAAGAAACAGTAAACAATGAAAACGAAGTCAAGTTATACGCTAGGTCTAAGTTATTTAAACAAAATAATATGTGGGAAAACCACTCCTCTTGGCTTTATGATGTACATACTAAAATAATGGTAATGGAGAAACATATCCATCCAACTACCAACCAAGGGTACAAATTCATAGGTCTCCACTTATAACCAGATTTCGAAATACAACCACAGAACTATAAACAAAAATAATCAAACGTTATAATTAAAAAGGCAATAAGACATTCATCAACCACTTGAACAAACTCATTAGGCAAGAAAACTCAGTCATTCTGATTACCAAGAAAACAAATCAATAATTCAACCTTGTAACAACACACTTTTCCTCAAAGATACCAAAACTGCAATGATCATGATCCATCACAAATTCAATCAAAAATCAAATCATAGCAAGACTGCTCATGAACTTACTAAAAACATGTCATAACCCTGAACATTATTAAAACAAAACAAACTTCTCAAAACTTATACACAAAACTGAACTGAGTACATAACATAAATAAAACAATTTCATGTCAAAACTCACCAATGACTTGACAAGCAGACAATCCCAAGCAGGAAAACACTCTCCAGGTAGGAGGAACATATAAATGTGAACTTGTCTCTGCTGGTCTGCTGGCTGTACTAAATAAAGCTTAACTATGTGGCAGATTATATAGGGGAAAGGGGGGGGGGTTCTAAACTGACACTTAAAATGATTTCTTTTTCCCGAGGGGAGCTACTAAATACACCAATGCAGTATACAATAATACAATACTCTGCACCCTGAACGTGACCAGTAGGAAGGTCATGAGTTCAAGGTTGACATCCATTTGTAGAACAGTAAATATTAATTGTCCTTATACCCTCTGAGTTCAAGCTATAAATCTTAAATTTGTAACCTTCGGAGTTAAGTTGCCGCAGAGCAGTAAAGCTTAATTCTTAACCTTGTCCTGACCTGACCTGAACGGTGAACTCAAATTTTCCTGAACACAGAGTGAATTTATCCATTTGTCTTATCCTAAAAAAAAACCCCTTATTGGACATTAACTACATCGTTATCAGACAAAACTTCACAACTAAATCTTGGCCCTGCCACATTTACGGGACAAAGCGTTCACGATAGAGTTTTTCGTAGTAAGGCACACACTTAGCGATTTGTTCAATGGCCTTAGGATTGGTCACGGATGTCGAAGCTGGTTTGGGCAGGTCTTCGTTCTTCCTGAAGCCGCTACTGCTCCTGGCGTTGGTGTGGTAATTACAGTTCAAGTACCCTAAGTGGTCCCGACAAGTGATCCATTTGGCGTACATCGGTGAGCCGTCATTCTCCCATTCGATCAGCTTCCTGCTGAAGGGAATTCCAGTGGCCTTGCAGTAGGCAGCCATCACAGTCTCGGGCTGGGAGACTAAATCGTCGGCATCCATGACAAACGGCGCCGGATCCAGGTTTTCTCTGACGTACTGGTAGAGTTCCAGGAGGTCCTTGAAACCCGCGTGCTCCCCCATGTCGGCTTTGTGCCACTCCTCCTTTGCCTCCTCATCAAGAAGTGGTTTGCTTGGTCTCCACTCATCATGGCATTTTCTCCAGGAGGGTATGACCTGTATAAGACCCGTAAATGATCATCTTATATGAAGTTATGCAACTTATAGATTTGCTATTATTGACTTTTTCATTAATTTGACAGCAGTCTTGGGTGCTCCTATACAGAAGGCTAATTTGTCCTTCTCTCGGATGTCACCCCCATTCATGTCTTTATTCTACTCTTGATACAACATTTGTATAAAATAACCTATTTCATTTATTCTATCATTTTGTGTAACAACTTTTTTTGTTTCAATGGAAATTAAAACAAACAAACAAACAAACACCCCAACACCCCCAACAAACAAGCAAACAAACCTTGTTTGGATTCCTGATTAGGAAAGTGTGGCGGTACCCATGAGGCAGGTGATCCATATACACCTTCCCTGCAAGGCTCATGGCAAAGTCTTTGACGAATACCAAGCTGGCATCCTTGTGTTCTGCCTCCAGTGTCTTCTTCACCCAGGCGTATGTGAAGATAGAGGAGTCGTATGCAGAGCCTGCACTAGGCAGAATGGCCGTGGCTCTTGGGGCTGGGGTGGACGCAGATTCACTCTCTGGTCCCCCAACGAGGGCCTTGTAATAGGGCTCATAGTAAATCTCGCCACGTTCTACTAGATTGCTGATGGAGCGCAGGACTGCCGTGGTGCAGGAACGAGGGACTGACCACAGTATAACACGGGGCTGCTCATGAATACTGGCCATGATACTGAAACAAACTGGCTATCCTGTACATGTAATAATATGTGGTCAACAGGTTGGCAGCATTTGGACAACCAGGCAGGTCAGTGTTTGTGGTCATGGTTAGGGCATACAGTGTTATGCTTCACTGCTTAACCCTAACAAAGGACTCTTTGAGGGTCAAATACCAAAAAACACAGTTAGCTTTACCAGGGGCGGTTAGGGTTAATTAAAGTACCGGTACCATAATAAATAATAATAATAAAAATTGCATTTATTATGCGCATATACCATAAAATACATGTTCAAATGCGCATTACAAAATTTGAACAGTATCTAAAATATTAAAAATACGAATTCGAATTAAACATTAATCTTAAATGTAAAAAAACCACTAGATATTTTAGAAAACACTGTCAAAGCAATGAAACTTAAAATTACAAAAACAAGACCTACATTTAAAATAGATAATAGTAAAACCTTATATAGCCTTGGTCAATGCTCTCGTCGTTATTCGTCCCGTACGCGGTCAATCGTCGGCATATATCCTCACGCGCTATGCACATGCATGTAAAAATGCAGCGCGAACAGCGACCTCACGCGGCCACTATTTTTATGCAAATCAGTTGGAGACGATGTCGAGCCTTGGTTCAATCGTCGGCCAAAGCTTATGTTTTTCTTTACTTTGCGCTAGATTTCCAGCGCACGACCTCGTATGCGAATACAGATAATGTAGGCGGGGCTAATATGTGGAGTGTCCAATCACACCTTGGTAAATCCGGACGTCATCAAATTATTTGCAGCTATTCCGGCTTTTGCGGACGTGACAGGAACAACAGTTTTTGTGCATTGGTGCCGTGTGCAGAGACTCACAATGTGTACGTGTATGGATTATGTACGGTGCCACGTTTCACTATGCAAGTTTCCACGCAACGATCGACCAATAAGAAAACGACATTTAAGGTCAGCTAAGGCTATTAACATAATGAGCACCACCCCAAAAACCTCACATGGACGATTGAACCAAGGCTCGACATCGTCTCCAACTGATTTGTATAAAAATAGTGGCCGCGTGAGGTCGCTGTTCGCGCTGTATTTTTACATGCATGTGCATAGCGCGTGAGGATATATGCCGACGATTGACCGCGTACGGGACGAATAACGACGAGAGCATTGACCAAGGCTAAACCTTATACGAATGCCTTTGTAAAAAGAAAAGTCTTAAGCTTAGTCTTAGACTAAGACTAAGACTACCATAGAGCTATGTGTACATAGAGGGAAAAAAAAGCTTTTGAAAATGTAATTTGAACAATTCTTTTCTGATAAGCTTTGTGTAGGCCTATGGATTAGTGAACATTTGTATGTTAATACGTTAGCAGGACTTGTGGATTGTGAACTTGAGAAATATATGCTGTACACAAAAAGTGCTGAAGTGATCAAGCACATTCAATTTCTGTAGCATAACTGGGGCCCAACTTACAGGGAGGCACTTTAGTGGCCTCACTTTTCGGGAGGTGGCACTCAATAGATTTAAACAATAGAAAAGCTCATTTTAAAAGAAAAAGTCCCATTTTTGTCCTCTTCCATTTTTTTTATGCCTACACCTACGTGTATGAAAAAACAATATTTTGATGCTTTGTGCCTTTAACGATCAAAGGACATGGCTGAATTATTGTCAGAAAAATAATTTAAAATTGTATTATTGTTTGGATTCTTGATCAGAAAACTCTCTGGTGGTAATTTTACATGCACACACAGTATACCAACATTGGCTGGAGTAGTTGCTAACATGTATGTTCGCTCGTACCCCCCGCCCTGCAAACAGGACGCTGGGATACTCTGATGAATTCACGCTCTGATTGGATAGATTTTGGTGACCTGTGACTTGCACGTCATCACGACCATCTACTACGGCAAGGTTTGAAACAGCCATTAAGACCGAGTCGTCACTCTTTTATTCCCATTCATAAAGGCTTTATTTCGTTGAAAAGCGTAATAATGTGGGAACATCTGTAAATTGTATTATTGTTTGGATTCTGTAAATCTGTATATTGTATTATTGTTTGGAATAAATGTTTTGAAAATTTTCGATTCTCGTCACTTGCTCGGGCTCCGTTTCGAATTCACGATGGGTCAGATTGCATGATGCGATGCTCAAAATTTGTCCACATCGTTCGCAGTGAAACATTAACAGAAATCACATCTGGTATGAAACGTGCGCATTTTCAAGGGAAAGTTTTCGGATAGCATTTGCGCGCATTGGCTAACTGCGGTCTTAAACGGCTGCAGCCAGATGCTTTATACATAGGTCATAGGCCACTTCCTTCACAAGATTCTGTGAAGCTCATTAGCGTATCCCAGTGCCCTATTTGCAGGGCGGGGTACGAGCGAAACATGTTTGTGGCATGATCCATCACTAGGAGAAATCCTAAACACTTTGATAGTGACTAACAGGGCCCATTTTTTGTATGGTTCCCTGGTTGATGTGCATTGTCAAAACGTTTGACAATCTACCGTGACTAGTTCTTTTCTGTGGATGTAAAAAATTGTCCTCTTAGACCCACGGTTGTATATTCCCACCCCATTGTTAAGGATTGTGCTCACCAAGACTTTAAGACTTCGGCCAGGCTGATTTGTCAAAAACAAAATGTGGAAAGCAAAAACACAAATTTTAAACTCTTTAAGTTTATTCTCATTCTCATTATACACTAACGTCTGTGTACATGCCTTGGTATTTTAAAGAGAGAACAATGTATTAGTAACAAATAACAAAGACACTGCGTTATTATCCAAAACAAATCTTTAGAGATTTATGTACTTATTGTACCAAATATCCTGTGAAGTTACATGTATTCTGCGGTGCTGCATTTTAAAATTTTGAATGTAATGTTGTACATGTAATATTTGAAATACGTGTTTTACAAATGTCTCCAAAATGATTGAGACATTTTTTTTTTTTTTTTTTTTAGATAAATGGATGTTTCAGCTGAATACATTTGTATATGTACATCAAATGATAGATTCATTTATGCTGATTCATATATGCTGCCTATCTGCACATAATGAAGCTGAAGTTGGTCCAATAATATAGTACAGCAACTAGCTCTGATACTGTTAAAAGTCACAGACAGTACCTTACGGGACAAAGCGTTCACGATAGAGTTTTTCGTAGTAAGGCACACACTTAGCTATTTGTTCAATGGCCTTAGGATTGGTCACGGATGTCGAAACTGGTTTGGGCAGGTCTTCGTTCTTCCTGAAGCCGCTACTGCACCTGTCGTTGGTGTGGTAGTCACAGTTGAAGTACCCTAACTGGTCCCGACAAGTGATCCATTTGGCGTACATCGGTGAGCTGTCATTCTCCCATTCGATCAGCTTCCTGCTGAAAGGAATTCCAGTGGCCTTGCAGTAGGCAGTCATCACAGTCTCGGGCTGGGAGACCAAATCGTCGGCATCCATGACAAACGGCGCCGGATCCAGGTTTTCTCTGACATACTGGTAGAGTTCCAGGAGGTCCTTGAAACCCGCGTACTCCCCCATGTCGGCTTTGTGCCACTCCTCCTTTGCCTCCTCATCAAGAAGTGGTTTGCTTGGTCTCCACTCATCATGGCATTTTCTCCAGGAGGGTATGACCTGTATAAGACCCGTAAATGAACATCTTATATGAAGTTATGCAACTTATAGATTTGCTATTATTGACTTTTTCAGCAATTTGACAGCAGTCTTGGGTGCTCCTCTACAGAGGGCTTATTTGTCCTTCTCTCGGATGTCGCCCCCATTCATGTCTTTATTCTACTCTTGATACAACATTTGTGAATAACCTATTTCGTTTATTCTATCATTTTGTGTAACAACTTTTTTGTTTCAATGGAAATTAAAACAAACAAACAAACAAACAAACACCCCCAACACCCCAACAAACAAGCAAACAAACCTTGTTTGGATTCCTGATTAGGAAAGTGTGGCGGTACCCATGAGGCAGATGATCCATATACACCTTCCCTGCAAGGCTCAAGGCAAAGTCCTTGACGAATACCAAGCTGGCATCCTTGTGTTCTGCCTCCAGTGTCTTCTTCACCCAGGCGTGTGTGAAGATAGAGGAGTCGTATGCAGAGCCTGCACTAGGCAGAATGGCCGTGGCTCTTGGGGCTGGGGTGGACGCAGATTCACTCTCTGGTCCCCCAACGAGGGCCCTGTAATAGGGCTCATAGTAAATCACGCCGCCTTCTAGATTGCTGATGGAGCGCAGGACTGCCGTGGTACAGGAACGAGGGACTGACCACAGTATAACACGGGGCTGCTCATGAATACTGGCCATGATACTTACATGTAACCAAACTGGTTGCTTCAAATAAAACAGATGTGTATGTTTTTGTACACTCACATGTAACTATCATCAGGTTGGTCTTTACAATATGCTGCCTGTGTTCATGGCCTTGTTTGCATGGTTTACTGGTTGATGTGTCTGAGGTACATGTACATGTACGGTATATGTCTATTTCTAGTGCATCACAAGTTCACCTTTTACTGTGTGCGATCTACCAGTCCTTGACCCTTGACCGGTGAATGGCAATCTGGAAATGTACATGTACACACACGAAGGCACTGTTCTGGATTTGATCTCCATTTTCGAAGCCATTTTTCTCAATGAGGCCAGTATCATACATTATAATGTGTAGTGTATTTGCTTTGGAAAATCCACTGTGAAACTTTTCTGTGGATATTCTATGGGAATGGAGTTTTATATGTGGATGATGTAACAGGACAAGTACTGAGTAAAAATATAAATAAATAAATTGTAATGCATATATTTATATAGTGCTTTACATCATAACAACAATTTCAAAGCGCTTCACAATTATTCCCTTGTTCATTAGGCCACGAGACCATACGCGGCAGCCAATATCAGCGCACATTCATATCCTCTACCCTCTCACCCATTCATTCTCCTGGTTGGAGAGAGGCAATTGTAGTTAAAGCTATAGTCCATCATTTGCAGCCATCCGAAAAGTAACTGGCGTAATTATTGTTGAAAAACATACTTGGTTGAAAGATAGTAAGTGGACTAAACTCCCTGTGAAATTGTTCTTTCTGGCAAGCTGTCATTTTGAAGTAATCAACGAAAGAAGGCCTTTCCAACGCACCGTAGGAAAATTTAAATTAGTAGTTCGTTTTGTTATTCGGCGAAGCGCGCGCAAGCATTGGCACGACGCACATGCGCGTGCGGTTGCTATAATTCGTCGGATCAGTGCGCGACATCGCGTATAGCTGCAATCGGCTCAGTGAGAACGTGTCTCGGACGCTGAATTCAGGCCAAATTCAAAACATGATTCAGCAACTTTTGATTTGAAATTGAGATCCTAGAATGCTATTTTTCTCGGAATATTCAGCTGAAGCTGAGCTGAAACTTCATCAGGTTTAGTTGTTCAGTATCCTTCATTAGATTTTGAACACTTTTGTTGCTTCAAACGAACAAAATGCACAAATTACAAATGATGGACTATATCTTTAAGTGTCTTGCCTAGGGGCCAGGCGCGGTTCTACGAGGTTCCACATTTCAGCACGCCTCCCTGCAAAATTTCTGGATCCACCCCGGCTAGCCGCCCCCCCCCCCTCCAATATAGATTCTAGAACCGCGCCTGGCACATTACACTAAGTACCTAAATACCATAACTAAAGGACCACACATTTTCAAATCAACATTGCACATATACTGGTACATGTAAATCTGAATAAAACGAAAATCTGTTTAAATTCAGGACAGATAATAAAAAGCAGGGGAAAAAAATCAGAATCAGTGTTAAAAGCAGAATCCAGTAGAGCTGTCAGCTGTCCCAAATTTGCTGTATATTCGAATATCGATCATCTAAAAATTTGAATGTAAATAGCCTTTTGCCGGTTTATCGAAAAGAAAAGAACTTTAAAGCTGCATTTTATTGTCGGGTGCCACTTTTTTGTCGACTGTAACTTGCTTGTTGACATCTATTTGTTGGTCTCATTCTTTTAGCTGGGTAAAGTCCCTGAACAGTTGAACGGTACTTTAATACTGCAAAACATAACAGTGGCCCATAATATTCATCACCGCATGCAAAATTTAACCGGCGCGCTTTGTACGCAACTTTTGACCAGCGAGGAAGGCAGCTGCAGTTGGCGTGTGTAAAACTTGATCAGCAAGTTTTGAATATTTGAATATTCGGTCAAGTGCGGTTTCGAATAACCGAATACTAAATTATTCGAAAAATGGACCGCCCTTCAATCCAGTGCTAGAAAGTTGAACATGTGTATAGCATTAGGAACAAATGCCTGCCTGGATTGACAGTGTAAAGAATTGGGAACATAAAGACCAATATATCTGAATGTTTGTATTTGAAACAGTTAGGCCTATGTAATGGGTGTAAGGATTCTTGTTTAATCTTGTTGATTTTCAACGGAACATGTTTTTTTGTACAGTGAACCAATTGAGGGAAGTCAATTATACAAATCAATTGCTGGGCAATCTTCCTCGGTCTAGAAGTCAAGCTTAACAACTATTTTCAGGGTGAAAACTCAACGAAAGCATGGACTGTATGGTACATCGTTAAATTTTCAAGTAATTAAATGACCTCAAACCAATTTGTGTCTTGAGAAATAAAGACAGAGAAAAAAATCCATGCATTCTCAGTCTCTCATTCTGCTAGAATTCTATCGTTGGCTCACTTGTTGTTAACATGTAACTCCAATTCTTTATAAAAACTCATTATCATCAAGCTTCCTGGCATTAAATAAACCATCTTAAGAATTGGACTTTAGCATGAGTACATCTCATCCAACACAGGCCATGGTGGAATTAATTGACAGATTCCTTGGTATATTGAAGCGGATGTGTCTATTCTCTTGGGGCCACAAGAGGCTGTCCTTGTGGACGAGATTTCTGTGCTGAGAAATCAGTTCCTTGATGCGTTTCCTTTTAAGAATTACTTTATTTTTCCAGTCCCAAATTTCTTTTTCTCTCAACCAAGAAAAGGGATTCAGAGCTGGTTAATCAATGCAAATCATATTACAATATCATAGTTAGTGCTTTATTTTTACTTGCGTGATTTTTTTTTAACAGGTCCTTAATTGTAGGGGAAAAATGCTTTTGGTTGCCATGGCAATGGTCTATTTACGTGATTTGTCCTCGATGCATGCTGTCTATACCATAGATGACAAGGCTCCAACATTCAGAGATTTAACCATTGAGTGGTTAGGGGCCTTTAAATCAAGGGAAAAAATTGCACATTTGAAAGAGGAATTCAGCAAGATTTGAGGGTTGCATTAATAGACCCTTACACGATGAAGCCATTTTCGATCGTGTCCCCTGAATCTATTTTACAGATTGTAACAGATTGACATGGTCGTTGCGACAAAATCATGTACACGTATGTGTAGATAGGCCTTGTAAACTGTTGAATGGGATAGTACCGTACTATTTACATGTATGCGCTCCAAGCTTCACTTTCAATTTTTTTTTAAATGTGGCTTAAAACATTAGTATGTTAAATAATGAAAGGTTTGCGGAAACACCATGTGCGAATAATTTCTCAACTAAGAGAATGGTTCTGAAAAGAACCAGAGGTATAAACTCGACGTTCCGGTCAGTATGCTCAGACCGTCTTCAGGAGAGTGTATGCTCTGACCGTCTTCCTGAAAACGGTCAGAGCATACTGACCGGAACATCGAGTTTATACCTCTGGTTCTTTTCAGAACCGTTCTCTTAGTTGAGAAATTATTCGCACATTGTGTTTCCACAAACCTTTCATTATTTAGTATCTCCACCATGCAAAGTCTCAAATCTTACTTATTATTAGTATGTTACTAATGACAAATGTTAAAAATTATTTATCAGAGTAGACAGGTATTAAGAACTTGTAATTAACTTTATTTCATTACATGGCCGACTCATGAATAAAGCCTGTAACTAGTCCAACCACACAATGACATATCTAACACTAATCCTGAACATATGCCAATCACAGTTGTTTGCATAAATTCCTGCCTACTGTGCTAATACAGAGTACTCTATGCGATGCGATGCGAGGGTGCAGCCTAGCCTACACCAACTCGGGACTTGATCGCGGCCCTCCACGCATCCCTCTCCAGCATTAGGGTCCTCAGCTCCCCTGTGTCACTGAGACTCTAAATGATTGACTGTGTTACTTATTAGCCATTGCAGCAACCTTCCAAGGGTAAACAAATCTGTCGTTATTGGATGTTTAGGTAGCGGTTTCTTATTTGCTTTAGAGATCTACCTTCATGAGGTACTGGTACATTGGCTAGTGCTTAATTACAAATGTACACATAAGCACATAGCTGTAGCTTATTTTTATGCAATTAAGTCAGTCGGAAGTAACGGACAGTGATTTTAATGTATGTTAACATGTACACCACCGTGCATGTTTGTGCATTGTCTCTTTGTAAGTGTTTTAACATGGTTGATGTTTATGCAGGATTTAAAGGGAATGTACAACATTTGCTTTTGCTTCAATTTTCAGAAATAAATGGATTTGGAGGATTAGTATGTTAAAGCAAATATTGTTAACATGACTTGTTTCACGTTTTGGGCTTGTAGATGCTGGAAAAACCAAGAAGACCATTCATGTTCTTGTAGTCTGGTTCCCTGACCCCACTTATGATGAAACAGAGAATTTATAGACTTTCGGGAATTGTAAGGTCAGAGAATCAGTCTAGCAGGCTTGTACCCCTTCACAGGTGTGTAATCAATTGCAAATAGTTTTTGCAGTTTTTGCAGCAAGGAGTTTGCAAGCAATTTTTGAAAAAAAGTCAGTTTTCTCTAACGCTGGTCGGCCGACCATCGTTGGAAAAATACAATTTTTCTTGAAAATGTCAGCACACCAGGAGCCACTATTTTACAGGATGCTTTAGACTGTCATTCCCTAACAATCCAGTAAGGAATTTGGTGATAATTTCATTATTTCATTTTGAGATGTTTGCAAATGTTGTATCTTCCCTTTAAACGGACAAAAATCTGACACTTTTTTTTGTGATCTAGAAATTTGGATAGAATAAATTAGTACCCATCGCAGAACTGAATTCTGCTTTTGGAGCAACTGTATAGTGTGTATTATACAATGTCTGAATAAATCCCTGTTATCTGATTGGTGGGTCGTTGATCACATGGTATTGAATTATTTGTCCCAATCCACAGCCTGGCAGTACCCCAAAAATAGAAGTTCTATTTTACGGTAAATAGTTGCACGGTCAAACTATTGGTGACTCTGGCCAATTGGATGATGAGGAATTACTTGGGTGTTTTTTAGCAAATGATTTTGCTTAGGCATGTGGTCCCCCCCCCCATTTAATTAACCCTCCCTTTTTGGCTGGCAATTTCAACAAGGCCACGTACCCCGGTAGTCAAAATAACTAAAGTGACTGTTGTTAACAGTTGAGTGCTCCCTGCCTTCATAAAGCAGGATTGGCTGTCTGTGATTGTTATGAAACCTGATGTAGAGCTTTGACTGAAAGTGATTGATAAGCTGGCTGTGCCTACCAGTCACCTGCTTTTGTC